TCGCTAAAGAGATGGAGACAGTAGCTTCTTGAATCTTGTAGTAAGAAATTGTTCACTATTTTCTTTATTGATATGGGGGAGACTCGGCGGAAGTGCATGCAATCCACAACGCAGATATAATACATTATTTTGTTATTAACAGCTTTATTGCCGTCCACACGCGTGCGAGCAGAGGACAAAGGCAGCTGAGGTGCGACGACGCCGACGAGAACACTTCGAAAATCCGAATTGGGCAGTCGACGAACGTCGATAAACCGGCAGTAAACCGACGCGTCGTTAGTCGCTTAGCTGCCTTACATAATTCCGGTAAAACCTCGGACGACGAGTTGGGCCAGCCGTCTCAGAGCGTCCTCATCCTCACTAGTCGTCTTAATTAGGAAACACATCTATAAATAAGCTGCATTATATAAGCCCTATTACATAACATCTTCACATATGCCCTAGCAGAGAGGATCGAGGACGCGGAGACGGATGGTTCTAGGAGCCTGGGTGCAGTGGTGCCCGCCGTCGTAATTGCGGAGCGGACGCCTTATTCCAAACCAAAGCTTAGTTTAGTCCTGAAATTCGCTGGTATTTCTTCCACCGAATATGCTCTAATAAATGTTTCCTATCCTGGATATGGCCCACCACTAGTACTCATTGCCTGTGGCCCCAGTTGAGACATAGCCCTAGGCCTTCTGACCTTTGTCAATTTGCTTGACACTCGTCAGCACCTTAGCTATAGGATAATGGCAGCGGGAGATCCAGTCGACCTGCCCGACCAGGCTCAGTCCTAAGCATGAAGCTGGTGATCGTCGGTGACTTCACTCGGACCCTCCGTCTGCAAGTCTGTCACTGGCAGCAACAAGTTTGAAGTACTTGCAATTGAGGGTTCAAGCTTCGAGAAATGGGACCATAACATCACAGCTGGCTGTACAATTATTATCGCTGCGAGAAACTCAAGAATCTCTATGCTAAGCGCTGCATACGAACGTACTGTCAACGCATCCACGGCACCACTATACATTATTCATTATCCATGTTGTATACCTATCTCATCTGTACTACTCTCATATCGAGAGTCTCTGTCAGTAGACGTTTACTCCTCCTTCTGCCGCACGAATATCGAAGATATCGTAAAAGTCGTATCCGGCTACATCGCGCCCCACTGCCCTCCGCCACCCATATACGGCTGTCCAGCCCACTGCTGCTGAGGCTGCTGAAACTGCTGCCCGAACCCCGGTATGGGGGACGGCGTAGTTGCGAATGGCGGCTGCATCTGTGGCTGAGGCGACGGCGTGAACTGCTGGGGCTGCGGCTGGAAGGGCGCAGGTCCCCCTCCCATCATGGGTTGGTACGGTTGCTGCTGCTGGAAGGGCTGCAGTCCGACCTGTGGCTGTGGCGAGAACGTCTGGGGCTGCGGATTAAAGAGAGGCTGCGGCTGCGGCGAGAAGGGGTTGCTCTGCATGTTGCTCAGAGGGGAGAACGTAGGCGCAGAAGATGGTCCGGCGTAGTTTTGCGGGGGCTGAAGGCCCTGCTGGAACGGATTGCCGCCGTTCATCCCGAGACTGGGCATGCTGCCCACGGTCAGACTCATACCCATCGTCGGGACGCCGAGGTTGCCCATCGACGAGCCGGTCATATTACCACCGTACGAAAATTGCGGCTGTGACATGGGCGACGTGCCGAAACCGGTTGGGTTGCTCGCCAGGCTGCCGTAAGGACTCCCGGTCATGTTCATCGGGGACGATATCTGAGGCGCAGGAGGCGGTGAGAGGACCTGGAGAGGCAGCGAGCTGTTCTGAGCTGGGGCTTGCAGCGAGACAAGGTCGTCCCAAACAGGATTATCAGACGGTTTATGCACCTGAGGCTGAGATGACGAGGGTTGCTGGGTTTGGTTGTACTGCTGGCTACCAGAGGGATTTGGGTATGTACTGGACCTTGAAGCAGTAGAACTCGGAGGTCGATTCTGGGACGGAAGGGTGGTGGAGTTTGGAGGGTTGTTGGAAGAGGGACTGGTCTGCGACCGAATGGGAGCTACATTGGCTGCCGATCTTGAAGGTCCAAGCAAAGCTGCGGCTTTCGCGGAGTGATCAGGGGACACTTTGACTGGGGGAGCTACCCTAGGTGCCGGTCTCGAAGGGGCTTGCTGCGCCGCTGGTTGGGTGATTCGAGACATGAAGCGCTTGAATTCATACTTGGCTAACAAAACGAGTCGGGCGTAAGTTGTGCTTAAGTGATCTAAACTGGTCTCGCACATACATCTGATGTATTTCTCCAGCTCGCTGTCTCTCTCAGCTTCCATCATATTCGCGGGTGGTGGATGGCGCGTCTCGTCAGGATTGTAATAAGCATTCGACTTGATGTTCCCTGTGTTCTTCATATGCTAGATGGTCCAGGAAGAGAGGACAGTCAATACGGCGTAGTGCACGATACAGGACAGCGAGAGATGCGGACTTCGACTTGCTCCTTCGTCCACGTATCAAGAGTGAGACTCTTGCTGGGTTGCATACGTAAGTAAACAATGGTAGCAACGAGTACTCATACGCACACTTTCGATATGTGGGTGCCCATCTTCCGGTGAACAGCGGCGCAATGCACACTACATACAACACTTGGTTATGACAAACACAACCGCGAGCAGAGTACCATACCATAGGAAGATCCCCAGATTATGTGAAGCCCATCTTGGATTCCTCGTCTTGCAGTCAGCACATACATCTATTGGCGAACCGTTCAGTACCGACCGCATCCGAACGCGTTCTCTTAACTCACCGTTCCCGGGCTGCGCTACCAGCTCGAGCAGGATGCGCTGATGGCGTTCAGCCGCAATTTTGCTGACGCCGCTCGACATCGTGGCACGCAGCGTTGCCGACAAGGAATGGCACAGCGAGAAGCAAGAATGACATTGTCGACATCGAAGCTCGAGTATAAGGCAGGCGGAAGTCGCCGGACTCTTCCATCACTCTCACCTCGATCACAGCGATCTCTATTAGGTGAGGCTAACGCTCTGCGATTGACGCGTTACGCTCGTTATAAGGACTGGAATATTGGACGTCTACTTATTGAGCGCTGCTATGGCGTCTCAAGAACAAAAAACACCGTCTGACTTGGTCGGCGTATTCCTGACATACCCGTTCGCGGAAGACCAGGCATACCAGGTACGCAAGGTCGCTTCTGCATACCGGGCAACGTTCTTATGTATGCTTTTGCAAGCAAGGTCTAGCGAGCATACTGTCTGCTCTAGACGAGAAGCCCGATGAAGAAAGGGAACAGTTGTTGCTGCAGTCCAGAATATACTACTTCAACAGGTGAGACCTCCCAAGTCATCGTGGGTGGTATTTTGAGAGAGACCTGATACAGGATAACGGGTGCCTCCATAACGCCCGACGAGATTCGGTCGTACCAAGAACCCTTGTCTTCCAGATCGGAGGGTCCCAACGGTCCGGCTCTACCAGCAGGCAGCCCTACACCAGACAGTATATCGACATATTCGAATAGCACTGATTCCAGTGAACCGCCGACCCTGACCTTCGCCCAGCTCAAAGAATTAATTGAGACTGGGCAAACAGACCAAATACCAAATAATAAACTCATCCCAGACGCGCTCAACGTAAGTCTCACTATTGACGTTATGCTAGTATGCCGTATTGACAGCCTAACGAAGGAGGCACGCCCTAGCGAATCCAAGGCGCCTCCTCGCAAGAAACCTTGGGAGCAGGAACAGGCCTCATAATGTGTGGCACCGATATGAAGAACGCCTATGTATGTACTAGTAATGATTCTTCCTTGCATTAACAACGACATGCCCGACAAGCCTGCCATGCGAGCGTTTCGTATGTCACCCTTCTGAATCCCTGTCTGCGAAAGAAGATGCATGCACTTATAGTGGGGATGCCGAGATGCCTGCTTCATACACTTTCAGAGCAAGCCGATTCGAACTTGTACGGGGATCTTCAGCAAGTAGCGTGCTGTTGAAGCAACCTAGAATAAATAGATTCATAGCGATCGCAAGCAGAAAGACATCGTACACAGAAAGTCGGGCAGGACGTGTGCATTCGGAGACATCTAAAGTCTGTAGTCCAAAGTGATAGGAGGCATAACCGCTCCTGATTCGACCTCGCTCACATACACAACCATTCGGAAAAGGAGATAGCATGCAGGACGACTCTCCTAAAGCCTCGATGAAGATGCGTGTATCACCCATGCACTTCATCTGACCCACACCGCGGATAGGACGCAGCGCAACGGCAGAGATTCCGCGAATTGTCATAAGTTACCTCTGCCAATCCGATTCAGGGGGTGTAGACTGGCGTCGAGGGATCCGAAATGCGAGAGGGTCTTCCGTGAAGGATTCAGCTGCAGTAGGTCGTTAGGTATGTCCCCATGCATTCGAGAGAGGCCTGGGTTGCACCGGGCTAGAGTACAGCTGACCCCCTAACTCGTGTCGGTAAGGCGCAAAACTTGGCTGGCTAAGAGGTGTCCCCATAGACGCTCCTCGCGTATGGCCTAAATGAGACTGATCAGGGAATCCTAAGGCAGACGTATTGTGTATTTGCGTCGAATTGGCTATCGGGTTGAACTGCTGTGGGTTGGAGAACGTATCGTACCCGCCGAACGGGTCGTAACGCGTGGGGGCCTGGCTGGGCAACGAGGCCGGCGGATGGATAGTTGAAGGAAGCATGGAAGTAGAGGAGACGCGGTGGTGCCCGCTGCCGATAGGCAACTGTTGCTGCACAGCAAAGGATGGGGTGGGCGTCCCGCCAACTATACGGCCCGGCGAGAGTGGGCTATACGGAGACTGCATCGATGGCTGCAACGAACCATTACCGACCAAAGACACAGGTCGGCGTGGTGGCGGATAATACGGCTGACCAGCGAGAGACGCGGAGCCGAGAGTCGAGGTCTGGGGCGCGGTCGTCGTAGGTGCAGACCAGATCGACGGCCGAGAGCCAGTACCGAACAGTGCCTCAGCGTGAGTGCTGCTTACGATTCGTTGGGGAGGCTCGAGAGGCACTCCAGTCTTGAGACTATTCAATAGATCCGCAGCGGTCATGCCTTGACCGACGGAAGACTTAGGCGTGGTAACCGAGGGCGGCTCCTCCGCAATCCTAGCGGGAGACTGAGGCAACGATGTCTGAGTTGCGAAATTTGGGCGAGCTGGACTTTGATGGAGGACTGCAGGTGGAGATGGCAAAGCAGTGGGCACGGTCGGTCCTGTGGGCGATAAAGCAGACGGGCGCCTGGGAGATAGGACAGGTGGGGCTATGGGCGACAGAGCAGGCGGACCTATAGGAGATAAAGCAGGCGGAGCCACCGGCGACAGAGCAGGTGGGGCGATGGGTGACATAGCAGGCCGGGGGTTCCAGACAATCTCGTCCTCATCATCTCCTGCCTCAGAGCTCGAGGTGCGAAGACCAGATCTGAATGCATCGCCTGCCTCGCGTACAGGGTCATCGTCAGTACGAGTGACGTCCGTCATGGCATCCCCAATCACTTCATCTTCATCGGTACGTTCAGCGGCTTTGCTCACATTCACGATGGCGGGGATGGATTGGTCGGAGATCCCATTACTGGAATTTTCCCTAGCGGGAGCCTCGCTGGCAGCTTCAGCAGCCGTGGTTCTTAGGAGAAACTGGTTCCCTTTGAGGAGGATAGGAGACCCCTTGGGATTCATGGCCGCGTCAGACGGGTATGCGGTTACACAATGCTATAGGCGACTCACCGACACATCAGCTGCTGTGGACCGTGCGTCCTCCAGAATGTCGGCGATCCTCATCAGTTGTTCATCATTAGGATGTTCGTCCCCACCCGTCCTCTCGGTGCCCCGATCCATTAGATATTTTTTGAGGGGAATGAAGCCAGCCAGGTCGATGTCTTCCTCCAAAGCCCTGGTAAGTGCCGGCAGTTTCTCAAGAGGGAATGTACGAAGGAGAGCGGACATGAACTGGGTATATGTCGTCCAAAAGTCATCCATCCTAGCGATCAAGACGCTCGGCGCCCTGCCTCTCCTCCCATCGTTGTCTCTAGGCGCCGACCGTTGCGTGACGTATCCGATATTGGCTCGTAGCCACTTCCCGGCTATTCGCAGTGCAGGGAGCGTCCGCCTGAACACCGCGGTGATCTTCTGCGCCAGGTCGCCCTCCGCTGCGTCTTCGGGCGGCTTCTCCGCCAGCTCGTCGGTGCCGACTTCCATAAGCGTACGATGCAGCGCGATTATGTGGGAGGCGATCTGGGACTCGATAGTCGAAGCAGAGGCAGTTCTGACATGGTCCGGGTCACTTGATCGTGAGCGTCGATGCCCTGAGACAGGCGGATCTCGGAACTTGCGGTGTTTCAGCAAAGCGCCCTGGGCAAGTATGACGACCTCGCGGATAGTTTCCGGAGGGACAATCCGCTCAGAGACCAGATCTTTGAAGTCACGTAGAAGCTGCTCGGCGTGCATGGGACCCACTCCCCGTGTCCTTGGGTACAGTTAGCCCTACGATATTAGGATACAAGCAAGCGAACATACTCCTGAACTCCAAGCCTCCACAGTGCATGCAAGATGAGCACATCCTCCTTGAGCCGCGCTACCTTGTGCCGAGGCTCGGTTAAGGGTGGCCTCTCTGGTGACTTTCTCCATGCATCTAGCGCCTTGTCCAATATGATCCCCATATTGCCCGTGGCAGGGTCGTAGGGTTGTAGGACGCACAATGCCTTGTAGTAATGCACGAGCGACCCAAACGTATCTTTCTTGTACATTGACAGAATGGCCAGCTGGTGTGATGCGTTGCCTTCGTCCGGCACCAGAAGCCGCGCCTGCTCGTAATACCTCTGCGCTCTTTCATAGTTTCGTTCGCGAGCGGGCATCTGCTCCGAGGTGCTGATACCTCCACCCCTACCCCTTCCCCTGCCACCTCGCGGAGGCCTGATGGGTCCAGCGGCAGGGCCGTCCTCGTGGCCCGCCCGAGGCCTACCGCCTCCATCATTGTATAGTTCCTTGTATCGAGCCAAGTCTCCGAGGCATACGAGAGCCTTCGCGAGGATGAAGAGCTGCCCTTTGCGCTGGTCAGATTTCTGGGGCACAACGTCCGTAGACCCATCTTCCGGCGGGAATCCCAGATTGTTCCGTCCATTCTGCAATCCTTCCTCCGGCTGGCCTTCTCCTTCCCCTGAAGCAATCCCGAGCGCAAATAGAGCAGGTTGAGCGTCATTCAAACCAAACGTGCGTTGGAATCGTAAGACGAGCTGGATCCAGAAGCGTTCCTCCTCCGCGAGGAATTGACGGAACCTGGATAAGAGCTTGCGATATTCTACCGGGCCGCCCTGCTGGTGGCGTGGGCCATGCCGTGGTGGGGGCCCAAATACGACACGGTCGAGCGCGAGGATCCGCTGCTTGTACTGTGATATGAAGTGGTGGGACGTGGACATCCACAGGTGCGTTTCGACATCTTTGGTTTCCTTCGCGTAAGGGTAAAGCAGGAGCAGGCGAAGATATAAGCGTCTGAGACTGCAACGGGGGTTGTAAGTGTGCGGATGGCGTCAATATAGCCGGACTCACTTCTTCCTCTGGAACTCGACCTCCTTCGCCCACGGCTCGCACGTTTTCTGTAATTCCTTCAGCGACTGCTGTACATTCCTCGCCTCCCTATCTCGCGCATCGATTCAGAGCCTGACACGGTCTGATCAGCGGCTATATGCGCGTACCTCGACAATTGCGAAGCTGTTTCTGCTGTTGTGTTGGACATGGTTTCTAGTATGCGATGTTATGACACCATATTCTCGTTGCGTAGGTACATCGGAGGTTGAAGGCTATATGGACACGTTGTTAGCTTCTAATACCTAGCATAAGCGCTGCAGAACAAGATGAACACTGGGTCTCAGCTGAGAATCGCGTCGGCGCCTATAAGCAGGCTATGTGCGGGCCGATGCGAGCGGCTCTCTCTTGCCTCTTGCGGGCTCGACTCAGGTCTCTTGCTCTTGCTCGACTTGAGAAACGATGACGACGGCTCGATGGACGCAGCAGGCAAAGCCACTATTATTTCAGAGCTTGTTCGTCATCACATTGCACGTCGAGCACATGCAAATTGTGTTCTACCTGTATTCATCGGCCAGATTCCTTCTGTCTGGAGCTGCTCCAAGTTGCCATGAATAACTGCGTTCTCAGTTGGTCGGCACTCTTATAACAGCCAAACTCCATCATATGGTCAAAGTTTTCATGATTGTGCAAGATATGTGCATTGAATGACAGAGTCAAAACACATTCGACTCAGCTCGGATGAGCTGAATCTCGAAGTGAGTTCACTGCCAGTAATCCAGGCTGAAGCTGTGTCTTCATATCATCTTCAGAGGAATAGTTATCTGACTTCGTAAGTCTAAGCGGATGTTGGCGAATGGTCGATGATCCCTCATGCGATAGTTCTGGAACCTAGCAATAATATTGTCGACTCATCGCCAGCTGGGATGGCCTTGAGCCTTGAGGTGGACTTCCCTGTCATTGCAGTTCGACAGAAGGGAAATATCTGATTCATAACTGACCAACTTTATCTTGTCTGTAACTTACGTTGTCGGTATCTTGCCGTCCTCTGTCGCTGCAGGGAATTCCCTTTTGTCTTTGCCACAGCATGCGAAATTATCTCGTTCATCATGCAATCGTCTTGTTCGTGCCACAACGGTAGATAAACTTAGTCCCTCTAGCAATCGACTATCCGCGCGTAGATGTTTCTGTCTGGACGGCGAGTACATAATGACTTGAACGCCGGTCAGATATCAATATTATAGCCAATATTAATCCTTACGTATCTGCGAGGCACAAGTATCTACATCTTCTTCTCCTTTTTCTCCCTCTCCCCGTTTCCAAGTATGGCCACTATATACCAGCAGAGAGCGAAAAGATGGAACACAAATCCCTGGCTAGCGGAATGGTTCTCCAACACCTTCGAATACTGTCACAACTGCCCAGAAGGCAAACAAGCATTTCGCGAAGAGTGAGTTCTTACACTTATGCCTGCAGAAGTGTAGTTTCAGCCCCAGCGTTCAACAGCGTCTTAAGCAAGTTTGGACCCGCGGAGGGCCGCAAAGTGCTGAATATATGCACCGAGAAACCAACCCCGAGGGCACGCAGCCGTTATGCCAATGCTAAGGGCAAGGCCAGATTATTCCACTTGGCCGGGGTGAGTTGCATATTGTCTGTGAGGCAATATGAATCTTACCTCGGGAAGACCGAGTTTGGTAGGGTGATGAGAGTCTCTCATAATGAGCAGAATATTGAATCCCTCCAGGCATCTGCGACGAAGCGATGAAGGTTTATCATCAGTATGTAGCTGAGAAAAATCTATGCCACCCAGAGAGAGTCCTACCTGCTGTCAAGAGACGCCGGGGGGAAAGCTCTACTGCGTGGTTAGCGGTGAGTTCATTCAATCATGATGCCTTGTACAGTTTGAACTCATGGCTTGTTTATTTTCAGCGTCGTCACGGTTTGATAGCCCATGGCGTGTTGAAGACTCTTCTCTGACCTTTTTTCAACAGCTTCGTTGCTGGAAGGCTGCAAGATACCTAACGTGGATTTCGAGACGGCGAGAGCCATAGCGATCTCTGAATTTGTTGGTTTATCCTCGCTATACGTGCGAAATGCTGTTGTTGAATATTCCTACTAGGACAAGGTCCGCGATACTATGGAATTACAGCGGACCAGGCCCGATATCTTCGTGCCTGGCATCCTTCGCAGAGGCGCGAGCACGATCCCCTCGCCCGAGATCCTCTCCAAACCGGGCCACTACCAGGAATTTCACCGGACCCATGATGCTATACGATCTCGGATGTATATCTTTACAGTGGGTTTCCAGTATTCTTGAGTTGGCCATTCAGATTGATATCCCTGTACTGTTTTAGATGTCTTATATGACCTGGAAAGATGCAGCAGAGCTATTCGAAGACCTAGCTAGGCAGGGCCTCACGACAGCCTCTGCTATAGAAAGGGCGTATAGGCAAGACACCAAGCTCATGTGGCGCCTGGTTACCTGCTTTGCGAAGGCGGACTTCTTGAAAGGTCTTCTGTGGGGAACGTTCGTCCAGATAGTCTCCTGGAGTGACCATTTCAGCAAGTATTTCAAGAGGTGGCGGGTCCGTCCTATCTCCAAATACCTTAGATCCCCTTATTGATGTATCATAGTCTCAGGATGGTGTCGCTCATGTTGAGCCGAACGTGTCCTACATTACTAAGAATGGCTTCAATAAGAGTCAACTGGATGAACTTGTCTTCCGCTCTTTTTGTGACAGCGGGCATACTGGCGCTTTCTTCGAGAACCTGAGCATGCTGCTGGTCCGTTCTAGTGTTTTAGACGCTGGTCGCTGTTTCCTAACGTTTTCCTCCAGGAGGAGGACCCGACACTGACTCGTAAATTTGACGCTGACGTATTCGACGCGATGGGTGACCTTGCCATAGGTATGTGATACTTCGACTATTTTCTCGGCTCAACAGCTCATTGACTTGATGTGCAACACCCATATTATTGTCTCCAGTCTCGGAATTCATTGTGAACATTCGTGACTCTGCGTTCGGGCAAACTCTATGCAAGCACATGAAATCTGTTCTCGAGTCGGATTCTCTATCAGTCAATGACATGTTCCCGTTCGTGTGTGGGATTCATCCATCGAAGTTATCTTATCCCTCGGTCCCACCGTCCGATTTCTGGACCGCTGCCAACGTAATGGTGCGCGCCGTCGCGAACGCTTGGCTGCAAGTAACTGGATCGCTCGACTTGTGGGAGCCATTACACAGTTTGAACATCAGTATCCTGGACCCAGGAAGCAATCATACCTTGCCGAGCGTTTTCGATGCATTTTGGACCGATATTGACCTTCAACTTTGGGAAATGGCTAAAGCTCTTGATTGGCCTGGGCGAACGGGGTCAGTTGCGAAGAAATTCGGTCTCCTTTCACCTTCGGATCCCAATAAGCCAACTTTCCTCCGAAACCTTCTCATTTATATGGATGTCTGCGAGGGTGAAGAAAGGAAGGCACAGTCTACGCCAGCCCCTGCTCCGGTCGTCGACGTTCCTCTCGCTGCCCCGAGGGAATCCGTCGCGCAATCAGGCCATGCTTTTGTCAAAGAAATGAATGTTAAGGGCCCGAAAGCCAAGACTCGATCTGCTGGACAAGGCAAGGAGCCTTCCAGGACACAGGATCACAATAAGGAAGAAGAATCTCTCGAAAGCTTTCCCCTATATCTTCCGCCTCAGTTCAAGTTGGGGAGGAAGGTAGGCAAGGTACGTCCGTTGAAGGGCCGGGAGGACACTTGGTAAGTCTGATATTGTTCTGCAGATATTCGAGCGGCTACTAGATCCTGACCCGGAAACGTCCCCTGATGAAAATGCTCCGAAGAAAGGGCAGATCAGATGGGGTGACTTTGAACGAGTTAGTCTTATCAATGAGTCACGTTACAAAGGTCGCTAATTCACTCGAGCTAGGCCATGCGGCGCATCGGGTTCGCAATTGTGCAGACGGCGGGATCATCTGTCCGATTCGACCCCCCTGCACAGACGGCGAGACCGATATCTTTCCACCGAGTAAGCGACTACATCATGTGTATTCAAGTCAGTGACAGCTCATACGAGGGTTTTCAGCCTCATCCTGAGTCCATTCTCACTCCTATTTTGATAAAATGGTGCGCCGAGCAGCTGCGTTGGTAGGGTTACACTGAGTTCAGGTCCGTATAGGATCGGTGCTCGCCTTCGGAGATGCTATGGATGGACACAAGCAACATTTGCCCGCCTGGACGGCGGAGAAGATGCCGATTGACACATAGGTATATGATCCAATGTTTGCTAAGGTCGTCAAGCCAATCCGATTTCCATTCCATCGTCAATGTATCGTGAGTAACAGATCATACAGTAGATATATGCGAGAAAACAGCGACTGCATAAGGGAGCAGTAGAAATATGCCAAGAACAATGTTCGAGAGATGTATCATTCGTTCTAGTCGTCTACTTCTTCGTCATCCCGGTCGTCAGCGCGGAAAAGAGCCACGAGGTCGTCGAGACCAAGTTTGGCCGACTTGAGCTTGTTCCCAGCAAGGGCTGCATCCGCTAGGGCACGCTTCTTCTCTTGCAGCTGTACGAAAAGAATCGTTCAGTAAGGCTCGGTGGCACAGCTAACATCTATAACTAGATGCGGACCTCGAGTATGCGTTGTTCGACGGTGTCCTCTATCGTAAGCTTGAAGATGGAAACATCGCGTTTTTGACCAAATCGATGAGCCCGGTCAAAGGCTTGATCCTGGCAGAACAGTAAGAACCGGATTACCAAAGTCCTCTAGGACGAGAACCTACTTCTAATGCCGGATTCCACCACAGGTCAGTCAGAATGACGTTGTTGCATGCAGTCAGGTTCAAGCCTGTCATCACCAGTCGTCAGCGGTTACCCAGCGACTTGAAATGAGGTACCCACCTGTACTCCCCGCCTTGAAGGAAATCAAAATGATAGTTGTCTTGCTATCACTCTTCAGTTTCTCTAGTGCGGCATCTCGTTTGTCCTTGGTCATAGAACCATCATCTGGAGGACACCTAGTTAGCGTGAATGGGATGTGGTCGAGCATCGATGACTCACATCGGACGAAACGGAAACCCTCGGCCTTCAAGAAGGGTTCGATCAGGTCAAGCATCGACGTGAATTGCGAGAATATGATAGTCTTCTCTGTGCCGTCTGACCTATCGTCGATCTCACGCAAGAGCTCGACGATCTTCCGGATTTTAGCTGAGTCCTGCGGCAAACCGAGCGGCCCCGTGACAGTCGACTTGCGCCGAGCTTTTCGTGCGAGGTCTGCGCAAGCAATACAGTAACTTCCGTCTTCGTCTGACATGTTCGACGAGTCCAAGCTGCAACTCTCATTAGCTGAGCTCAGACTACGTCAAGCCACGCAACTTACTCTGTACGGCACATTTGACATTTCGGTCGGTTGGTGACGTTCATGGCTCCGAATGCCTTGGCCAAGTCGTCGTCATCCTCATCGTCGTTCTTTGCTTCCCTTGGCTCGATAGCCTCCTCATCCGCCCGGTAATCTTTGTTTATCAAAGCAGGATGGTCACAGGCTAGAAATAATACTGAGCTCATGACGCAGCTTGCGCGCGGCCATACAGCTCACCTTGCCGAAGGCGCAGAAGTAGCACCAAGATAGTGGTGTAACTCTTCTGCAGATCACCCGCCCGCGCGAGTTTCTCGAACGAGCTCCGTACTTTCTCCTCGACGGCGTTATAGAATGCGCGCTCCTCCACGTCAAATGCACACGACACCACTTCCACCTTCCGAGCGGGTAGCTCCAAAAGTGGTTTGCCGTTCAGGAACGTGTCCTTCTTCCTGCGCAGCATAATCGCAGCAAGGACCACCTGCCCGGAGTGTGAGATACAGTTAATCCATGCGAATCCATGGAAGAAACTTACATGAAGTCGTTTCATCGGGAGGGCGGACCGGCCGGATTTGACTGGCTTCGCAATCTTCTCGTTGAACGTCTCCCAATCGTTCAGGGGCCGTATCTCGAGGAACTTGAGCAAAGAGTAAAGCTCCTCCACGCTGTTTTGACTATAATACCTCATGAGAAGACAAGCAGCATTTGGATGAAAATGTATACATACAGCGGAGTACCCGTTAGACACCACTTGTACTTCCCGTCCAAGGCATGGCAGGCCATAGACATCTTCGCCTTGCGATTCTTAATATTATGTGCCTCGTCTATCGAAATCAAAGGTCAGCTAGGACGCACGCCAAGAATAAGGGCAGAGCAGAACCTAGGACAATCCTCCACCACCTAACACGGAACAGCGCATTCTTGGCCTCTGCCTTCTTCTTGGCCCGTGTCTTCGGCTTCTTCTTGAGCAGAGTGCCGCCAAAATCGTCGGAGTCGTCATCGCTGCTGCCGCCCGCCGCGTTCTTCGGGTCGCTCTGGTACACCTGGTACTCCTGCGCGACGATCTGGTACGTGGTGACGACGATGTGCGCGCGCTTCAGCTCCTCGGGGTTTGTCGCGCGCTTGGGACCGTGGTGCTCGATGACACGGAGGCCGTCCGTGATCTTGGCAGCCTCGCTCTTCCATTGGGCCACCAGCGCGAGTGGGCAAACGACGCTGTAACCGACTAAGCTGACGTGTGGAGGCAAGGTTGGCTTGGCACTTACAGCGTCGGGGCCGCCCAGCCCTCTTTCTTATCCGTCTTCGTCGGTCTCCCTTCCACAATTCTCGTCAGCATCTGTATTGTCTTTCCCAGCCTGCAAGCACGAACATCAGTCCTAAATCCTTCCCCACCTCGGAGGCACTCACCCCATGTCGTCCGCCAAGATACCGCCTCTGCCCTTCCCTTGCTCTCGCTCCGCCATCCACGTCCGCCCTATGATCTGGTGCGGCAGCAGCGTCACGCTCTCCTTGAACCCGGGCACCTTCGCGAGCGACATGTCGATCTCCACGTCCTCGCCTTGGGCGAGTGTGTCTTCGCATAGGGCGCGAATGTCCTTCTCCGCCTGCTCGGCCGTCTTCTTGGGCTCGTAGAGGTACCTTTCCTCGGGTACGTCGAAGGTTTCCCATACGGGGTTGTTGGCGGGCGGGTTAGCCTGGGAGGCAGAAATATACGGTTGTGGTACGGGCATGAGGATGGCGTGCGCTGCCGTTGATTTGGTCGTGTTGGTAGCGACTGTCTGTACCTCGTCTTCAGAGTCACTTTCGACGACCAGTCTGCCGCCTTTCTTGACAGCAAGTCTAATGCAGGTGATTAGGTACGATGCTATAGTCCCAGTGTAGAGCGTACTGTGGTTCGGGAAACCTAACGTACTCCACGCCATCCGACTCTGTCTCCGAGTCCGAGTCTATCACACGCTGAGACATCCGCTTGGGAACAGGAGATCCTGAGTCTCTGGACGAAGTTGAAGCCGTCGACGATGAAGACGCGGAAGACACAGACTTGGTTTCCTGTCAAATTGCTGCTTTAAAACACAAGCTACTTCCACTCACAATTATTGTTTGTGCCGGCGACACGTTTGTGGCGGGTTTTGGAAGCTCGGGATAAAGGCCAGAGCCTGCAAGTCGTCGTCGCCTGCAACAACAACAATGAGCAAAGGTACGCTAGCAAGCGGCAGCCTTACATATTCTCCATCGTTGCTGCTCGTCGTCAATGGCGATTATGAGATGTTTACGTTTGGTTCAAAGAATATTGAATTTACGACTCCGAACGACGCGTTCTGGTCACGTGATGTAATTGAACTCTACATGCCACTTCGGGAGTCAATCGGGAGTTACAGTGCCTTGCATAAGAAACTGAACATCGCATTTCCGCGCGCGTTGTTTGTTCGCGCCAAATATTCCCTTTTCGGGTAGGTCCGGAAGGCCTCTTGCGGGACCATTTGTTGGGCAGGGACTCGCAGATGCCCCGAAAGACTTCAGGAAATGCATGAAATGTATATTCTACAACTACACTAAGGGCTGTAAATCATAATACTCTGCCCCCAACTGTATGCCTAGCTACCATCTCTCTCGATGGGTCTTTGCCGCACATTTGCTGATACCCGAAGAGGTATATTTTGGCGCGGACAAACAACGCGCGCGGAAATGCGATGTTCAGTTTCTTATGCAATGCACTGTACATTCTTTTGCCATTGCCGAGGGAGAAAGGTTGTACGAAAGGTATTACCAACTCCTAGACATTTATGTCATGCTTACATGACCCAGCTATCTGGACCTGTGATGGACATCCACTGGAATTGTTGTGTGTATGAAAGACAATATTTTAATCCATTTGGGAAGGTAATAGCCGAGATACTTTTTTATTTTATTTCGAATCTATTTACACAGTGAACTGCTTATGTAATGCACATCCCCTTTCCGACATATATTTGAGCCATAACTCATGAACAATTGCATTTGGCATAAAGATGACCATTGTAGTAGTCTTTGAGCTCTATCTAGCAATGTAAAGTGGAGAGCGAATTAGATCTCACTTCACTAGGAAGATTTACACATAGTTTGGAAACAGTCCCCATTGTAGTTGACCTCCTTTTCAGCCACAAGACAACATAATGTTCTGGTAATACTACCATTCGTGTAGAGGGAAAATAGTGCTAGAAGTTTACATTTTGTACCAAAGAGAAATATGCAACTGTTGCTGAGATACAAGTCATTGCAAGGGTGGTGCAATATTTTTCAGTTCACTGTATATGTATACTATATTTTCACGCCAACCCAATGAATTACTAAAGATAACCTATAGCCTTTCATATAACCATTTGCTACACCCCAAACCTCCCGGAGTGATGATTGGCACTGGCAGTGGAAAGCATACACAACAGTTCATGAGTTGTGATTCGGCTTTACTGATCCTTTCTGCAGAAACTGATGATCTCGTTGATACGCTTCAGGATCATCTGACCCCCGAAAACGCGGACTCAGCACATCGTACAAGCCCTCCGGAGCTTATTCGCCACAGCGCTCACACGCCTCTAGGCTTCTATGGGCTCTAAAGAATTGTTCTATCTAGCTCCGGACTTCCTAGCATCCTCGAGGTGTACATGGACCCATTCCGTGATTTATCTCCACGGACAGGAGCTCCGGAGTGACTTAACCAATGCGACTTCTAGATGAATTAGCTCCGGGGCCCGCGGACGCTTCTGTCGAGGGGTGACATCTTCATGCCCAACCTCCAACACTCACTCCCTCTTGTTTCCATCAAACTACGGAAGGTGCGGACACATATGAGTCACCATGAGGCCAGCATCAGTCAGCAAGTGGCCGGAGGTAATTAGCACGTGACTGGCACATCGCGCGGAGTGATGGGACCACTTAGGGCAGGTGGCGGAGCGTCGAGGCGACCTCTAGGGGCTGGGACGAGCAAGTGGGAGTGCAAGAGAGTCACATGGTGTATGGTATTGGCAAGTGCTGAGCAATCCTGTGGGTAGCAGCGTTTATTTGTTATTTATCTCTGGACAGTTGCAAAGCCATTCCTGTAGTATAAATTGTACAAAGTAGCGTACAGAAAAACAAGTTTCGACTTCACCATCTCAGAGACTTAGCGTTACAATCTCAGCGACCCAAGAAGTTCAAAAGCGTCGAACTTAGCAAATTATAACCGACCCTAGCTTTGCCAATAGGCCTGACTCGTCAAGTGAATTATCTCCGCCATCGATTCAATTAGCTCCGGTGAGTCTCACATAGCGACATAAAATTAAACCAAGTCTTTCTAGCATTTCCTACTCCCGTGGGCCCAAACCTACACTCGGTTCCGTGGTTTGCGACTTTCCAGAGATAAATACTCCGGAGCGTCCATTAGTGTTTGTTTCAGGCGTCAAGGTTTTTGTTTTATTTTTCTAGGTCTTCCTACGGACTACCCTACGGCGTCTTACTCCTCCTTTCCCCCTCGAACTATTAAATACCCTTCAGTTGTCTCGGACCGCCTTCACCCATATCACGGGGTTTAGGTTTATTGCTTTTGGTCCTTGGTGATTGTTGTGTGTCTGTGCATATCAACGCACCATACATGGTCATTGCGACAGCCAGAATTGGAGGATTATCCATTCAAGTACTGACAAACAACTGTATTTGGCACATAGGAGAGCCAGGCTAATGCTGATGTGTGATATCATTTCAGGCACTTGAATGAAACTGCCTTGACAGGTGAATACAACAGGAGGTGTGTAGTTTGGGGCACAACAAAATACACCACATTAATCTACAGCATATGAAGCATTATAGTATGAATTTTAATCAGAGGTCAAGGTAGGACATGCTGCAGTTGAAGGCATCAAGATTTATCTTGTTTCAAGGACACAGGAATGACTCTAATTGCATCGTGCAGTGCAAAGAATCATCAGAAGACAAGGTTTCCAAGAGCAGTACTGTACCATTTCAATCTATTCGGCAGGTGGTGTGACATGTGACTCATCTGACCGATTCATCATTTTGGCAGCTTACTATATAGGCAGAAAGTCGACTCCACTGGGAGGTCACACCACCAAACATGTTCGCGAACCATGAACACGAACATCAGAGGCACATGCAAGCCACTACATGGTGCACCTGGTGGTGTTTTGTGGCTCTGGCCACACAGATGCATCCTTATCAGGCCCCCTGCTTATGATAGAATGCATTCAAAACTGTTAAACTATCAAATCCATTATAATAGTGCTTGTCTGTGGTATTTGTGAGATCGAACTCGTCGGGTGATTGACAGAAAATGTGGTAAGTAATCAGAGCTGTTTGTGCCAGCTTGAGCATCCTAATATTTATTTGGATGCACGCCTCCCCTCTCCCCCCAACTCATGCCACTGGTAACAGTGTACTACTGGCAGTGTCATGCCACCATGAGCATAGTTAGTCATTGATATTGGGTCGAGTAAATTCATTAAAACTATGCTGCATATTAATGTACACCATCCAGCAATGCGGCAAAGTAATACATTGATAGGCACTGACACACAACAACCACCAAAGACCAAGGGAAAATAACATAACACACCCAGCAGTATGGGTGGAGGCGGTCTGAGATGACTGAGGGGTATAAAGTAGTTCAAGGGGGAAAGGAGGAGTAAGACGACGTCGGGTAGTCTGTAGGAAGACCTAGAAAAATAAAACAAGGCCTTGACACCTGAAACAAACATGTATCGAAGCTCTGGAGTATTTATCTCTGGAGAATTGAAAACAAACAAAGGTCGCAAGCACCAACACCTAGCGTAGGATCGTGCTCGCAGGATAGAAATTGCTAGAGAGACTTGGTTAATTTTATTTCACTATGTAATACTCACGGGATTTAATATTTCGATGGCGGAGATAATTCAATTGATGAGTCAGGCCTACTGGCAAAGCTTGGATCATTCGTAAAACACTAAGTTCGATGCTTTTGAACTTTGAGGGTTGCTGAGATGGTAACCCTGATACGCTGAGATGGGGTAGATCAAACTTGTTTTTTTACTTTACTTTCTATTGCACATTTTATACTACAGCAATGACCCTACAACTGCTCAGAGATAAATAACAAATACTCACCGCAACTTCCTTGACTGCTCAGCACCCATCCGCCGCTATACCACGCACCATACGACTCCCTAGCCCCTCCATATGCTCATCCTAGCCCTTAGAGGTTGTCCTGACACATTAGTGTTTATCCTGAGCCTTCCCATCACGTTGCGCAGCATGCCGGTCACGTGCAAATTAACTCTGGCTGCTCGCTGACTGATGCTGGCCTCATGGTCACAGATTTACATCTGCAAGCTCGGTAATTTGACGGGGGCAAAGGGGAGGAAGTACTGGAAGCCGGGCGTTAGGACGACCCACAACTAGACAGGTGCCCATGGCCGCCAGAGGTAATTCATGTCGAAGTTGCTTCTTGAGCCACTCCGGAGCGCCTGACCTCAGAGCTAAATCCTCGTAGAGATTCGCGCTTGCCTCGAGGATGTTAGAATGCCCAGATTTAAATCGAACCATTATTGTTAGCCAGTCGCATCCTAGTGGCGTGTGAGAGACGTGTCAAATAGATTCTGTAGGGTGTGGAGGAAGCATTGATTCCACGATTTCAGGGGTCAGACGATCGTGGAGGCTTATCAACGTTCGTACCTATGGTTGATTTGCCCAGTTCTTGCTGTCTTTTCTGCTAAGTAAGATTGCCATGTGGCATACGCCCCGGCCCAGACCACGGTGTGGCCTCCCCTCATGTGGCTAACAGGTTCACTGAACTCGTTCGCGAATGCTTTCGGCGGGTGAACTTCCCAGTCAGCTGGATGTTCTCTATATATGGTGCAAAGTGGTGCTGCAGCCCGCAGGCCAGCTTCTGATACCATATACAGTAAGTCCTAAATCCCACGATCCCAGAGGCCCTGTGACCGGTGACAAACACCAGATTTCGTCTCACTTCGGGAGTTACACTCTTTTGGGCCTAGCAAAAGATTGTATGGTAGGGATATATGAAAGATTGGCTTTTGTAAATGATTTCGGAGCTCACAAAAGATAATCTTGATCGAGAATTTCGAAGCTTGTAATATATATTTTCAGCAGTATTATCTTTGTTGGATACATCATAATTAAATCTTTCATATTCCCTTCTAACACTGGAGGATTTGTAATCTTTAGGGCCGGGAAAAAGGTTGTATGAAAGGGTATTCTGCGGGCTCTGATTGGCTGGCAATTCCCTTTCATACAACCTTTTGCCCGGCCCTAAAGATTACAAATCCTCCAGTGTTAGAAGGGAATATGAAAGATCTAATTATGATGTATCCTACAAAGATAATACTGCTGATAATATATATTACAAGCTTCGAAATTCTCGATAAAGATTATCTTTTGGGAGCCCCGAAATCATTTACAAAAGCCAATCTTTTGTATATCCCTACCGTACAATCTTTTGTTAGGCCCAAAAGAGTGTAACTCCCGAAGTGTCTTCGGCAGGTACTCCTGTGACGTGTGACTGCCGAATAGATCGAAATCATGCAGTATTGTGGAGGGCGATCGCGACATACGACTGCAACATACTCCTTCATCGTACGTGCCGTTGGTAGGATCCCGTCAATGGGTCACAAGAGGAATGTACCATTGGCCGTGGTACGATCTTGAACTGGTCTTGACCTCACTTACACGCTTCATCACATCAGGAAACGCACCTCACCTATGACTCCCTATTTTGGTTTCCCCCTGTCTATGTTGACCTATCCGACCTCTATAGACCTATGGAGGACTATGTATCCGGGGGTAAACCACTATAGAATTTGGTGTTTCGTGATGCAGGGTCAAATTTTGATACCCGAGTGCGAAGACGAGACCTATCCATGTCTAAACATCTTGACATTTTCCAAAGCAAAAACAGGATGCCTTCAGTTACTATGGAAGATTGGTTGGTATGTACCCTGTCCGGTGATATCATAAGTTGCAGAACAACCGCAAAATTGCCCTCAAGCTTGCTTGGACCCGAGCTCTCCGAGGGGCAGCACAACAACCACATGCGAATCATTTCTGATGCCTACTGGCACTGCTCGCTGGAGAAGAACTGGTCAAACCGTCCCACCAGTCTTCCACGTTTCTCGAGAACATTAACGGCATTGTAAGACCGCAAGGCACGCGATCTTCATATTGTACCTCCATCTGTTCCTCTCACTGGTTTGGCTGTGGCACCAACTCTTCCTCAGGCCCAGCAGTCGATGCGGAAACTCTGAATATTGCTTGTTACTGTGGCACTGATCGAAACAGCCGATATATTGTGTATTCGATACCACAGCTTTGTCGCCTTGGTCTTTGGCTCGTTATATTCAAATCTGCAGAGTATTGTTCTATCGTACTGCCTGCATATTGATTTCCTTGACTCTGTCCACCAGTTTACCATCAATGTAAGTAGACATGCTTTACCACTCCACCCATATACTCTGATTTCATGGTGTGTTATGAGTACATGTGAGCGGTATGTTCTGTGGTAAAAAGGCATCGTAAATTGCACTCCAATTGCATGCTACAGTCTGCCACTGACGACTTGAGGATTCCTCCTTGTTTGATACACTGTGTTAGGTTACTGAGGACATCATGCATTCCCTCGCTGTCGTGAGCCTCTGGTTCTCTTCTCTTCCCCGAGCCGGAGCATGGACTTTCTCGATCCTGCGAAGCCATATCTATTTACTGGATGCATCATCTCTCAAGACGTCGCCACCATAAGTCTCTTCTCAACTATCACACTATGGCTTCTTAACTCGAGTGACCTCTTGCATCGGTCTGAGAATAGTCTGCGGTACCCGAGGACTATGCTCAGCCATGGAAGAAAATGTCCCTTATCGAGGTGCCGTACTTATCTATAGCTTTGCCTCTGCGGTGTCCACCAAAGTGAACGCGTCCGTTCTCAAAATTATACTCGAGGTACGTTCTATTTCAGGTGCCATCGGAGAGCATTCCAGTCACCCGAGCCGAGGCCAGTAGAGGGTCCGTGATACACCGTGGGTCAGCAAATTTCTCCGCCCAGCCTCGAATCTCTGCATTTCATTTCGGAGCCTTCGATGGCTCAACTAAGGGCTTGATTAGTCCTGCGAGTCTGGTCCAGTGCCGTCGGTGAGTCAGGCATCCACTTCTCAGGCTACCTTTCTACTGGGAGTCAAGTCCATGATCCCCGACGCCGTCTCGAATGTTAGAAACCTGACTGCGACACACATGGCCTTTCCGTGACTGTATACAGTGATGTGCCATCTCCCTACTCAGGCATATTGTATCCAGGGCGGGTGTCAGGCTGGCAATGATCATTGATGGTGCGTGGGATACACACTCCATGAAAGTGCCTCGGAGATGAAGGTCCCGCGCTGCAAGTTTCAGATACTACCCGCTATTCAGAATCCGATTTCGGTCGTTCCAAGGCAGGTGGTATTGAACGCTAGCTGCGGCTCGACCCTGGTCGGTCCTGGCGGGTGTTATTGCTCTTGCGATTCCATGGGCTTTGATTGGAACGGTACTTCCACGTACGCGTCTCCCATGTCGGACGTCGAGGTGTTCCAATACGGCGGATTTTACAGCGTGTCCCTGCCCCTCCTCCAGTCCTCGACACTCCCTTTACCAACGACGGCGCACGTACGCAGTCGAGCGCGCGTAAGCGGCAAAGGACTATACCGTCTTATGAGGACATCCAGCGATCGACATGGCAGGAAGCTCTGGACGCTCCTCCACTGTGACTTTGATTTCGACGATCGGGTGCAGTCTGTACATGTCACTGGCACGATCACTCGCTTCCTCGAGCCCTTACTTACAAACTAGCACCGGCAACTATAAAGTTGAAACTGCCGCGGTCGTGCCTGCCATTGACACAGAGGGCCTGTCAGTTATCACGGCCTACGCCTCCATGTCAGCGGGGATTATGTCTCGAGCCGTACTCAATACTAAGGCTATATGTAGGGTTCGGATTTATCGGATGTGGCGTCGTGACCGGCTTCATTTGTGACGCCAGACGCCACAATTCTAGTGCATGTAAATTTCGTAGGGTGCAGAAAATTGCCGCCAGTTTCGCTGTGGGCATGTACACTACGGTACGGTACACCGTACCCTTCGTCTTAGACCGCAGCTAGAGAATGATGAGGACTCAATTCAACGCGCACTTGTTGCTGAAAAACGTCATTGGCCTGCCTTCCATACCACGCAGGTGAAGCCACAGCAGATTTCAATCGATCGTTCGCGTTTGGGGCCAGCGCGAATCTGGATCGACCAGATCGACCTCTTTCTTACCGGGTGTCAGGGTTACCGGTACCGAGGCTGGCTTACGCGATCCGCTTCGGGCTTCCCCATGTCCAAGAGGAAAGGGGTGGCACGAGGAAGAGCCGTGCATTGAGGAGATCTTTCGTCGAAAATTTGGGATCCACACGTTCTGGTCGTGCAATTTTATGTTCTCGAGCTCTCCATCCAGTATCCATCTCTTTTTTATCGAGGAATCTAAAACCGGAAAGTGGAATGGAGGGCGGGGATGGCGATGACGAAAAGGACCGTGCACGGCGAAGACGATCGACAGGGCGAGATCCCCCGCGATTAGGGGATCTGGTCCTGTGCTGCGGAGCGGAAGGCTTGCGTCGTGCGTTCCACTCGGAGGCACAGAAGAGGTGCGCTCGCGTGTCCTGTCATTGTCAGACGAAGGTTCGCGACGAGGCGATCCGTCGGAAGGGGTGGGCGGTGGGCATGACTAACTGACGAGATAATTCTCGTTGGGGAGGCGGGGGTTGTGGTTGGGGAGGATTGGATGAGGTCGGTAAAGATAATCAGCTTTGAGCGAATATGGAAATACCTCGTCCGATTAGGCTTATGTCGGAAGTGTCCACGCTGGTCAAAGAAAAAGTTCATTCTACAGGAACTTCAAACAATCGTAGAGGTTCCCGTCATGCAATATGACCTCTGTAAGAAAGATCGGCAGAGATGTAACGTTATAGTAAAACATCCGCAACTTCCGCCGTAATCAGATAAGGGGCGTAGATGGTGTAGCATGCTGCTACGACGAGGGGGCGCTCGGTTGGGCTCGGATAGCGAGACGGTGGGCCGGGAATGCTACGGAACACCGTGCATAACGTTGGGAGAAACAGCGAGAACGACGCATGGAGGCTAGCGCACACGCGGTGGGCTTGGACTTACTTCTTGGAATGATCCAGTAAAATAGCGAGCGAGGCGAGTCGAAAGTGGCATTTTCGAGAGATCGAAAGTGTATGTATGTACGTACAATGGCCGCGCTAGCGCAGCAATCACGACACCGACCGCTTTCGCGAGGAGAAGATTCGGTGGAGAGTTTCTGATGAAGGCGAAAACTTGCTGGACGGACTGGGCGCCGCGAAGGGGGCGCCCACGACAGGGAAAGTTTGTCGGCGGGTGCCGCGGTCACGACGCGCGCCGCGCGTGGTCATGGGGCGAGAGAAGGGAACGCTTCTTGTTATGGGAGGGCTGAGTCAGCGCAGCGCCTGCGAAAGCGTCGACGAGGGAGGGGGGCGGGGCGGGGATAGTGCGGGCAGAACGTCGACGGCAGCGGCGACGACGAGCGCGACGGCGAGCAGCACCGACAGACGCGCCGACGCCGACGCCGACGCAGCGCCGCCCGAAGGACCGCCAGAAAATCCGGAGACGGCCGAACGGGGCGGGAGGCGTGCCGAGCCGCGGGATCCCAGGCCGAGCGGGGTCAACACTGAGACGGTTGAAACGCGCACTCTGCAGAGACGCTCCTCGGCGACTCCAACGCAAGGCCCGCAATCGACGCGCTGTTTCCTGGCGCGGGCTGACGACAGCAGCCACACACTGCCGGAGCCGCCGCCCGAAACCCGATTTCCAGAATTTTGGGATATTTTGCGCCGGTAACCCTCAGCTATTAAGGCCTCCGTACGTTACATCTCGTTTCCCCTTTTGCGTATTCGCCCGTGCTTACTGCTTGCTTGCTTGTTTGTTCCTTTCTGCGCGACTGCTCCTTTGTGCATGGCGATACTTCCCATGGCATACCCGCACCATGCCTCCTCGCACATGTTCGCGAACCACTACAACAACCACGGCGTTGAACGCCTCGACACATCCCAGCATTCGCGCCCGTTCGTGGTCAAGGTAGAGTCCACAGACTCGCCCGACCTTCCCCCCTCGCCACACCCGCACTTTACCTTCAGCAGCCACCACTACGCACCGCCCCACCAGCCACAGTCGCACTCCCAGTCCGCCCCGCACCTCTTCCGCTTCGGCTCCCACCACCATAATTCCCACCACACGTCCTTCAACTTCATGTCGAATCACTGGGGCGGTCCCTCTTCGTCCTCGTACAACATGCACCACTACGACCTCCCCGCGCTGCACGACGGCCGCGGCATGTCCTTTCCGGACGAGTACGAGGACGGAGACGAGCTCTCGGAGCTCCCAGAGCCCTCCATGCCACAGACTGCCGCGCAGAAGAAGGCGGAGGAGAAGCAGATCAGGCGGCGGAGCAGTAAAGGTGCGGTATCTCTCTTTTGTGGCATTGGCAGTGCGGGGGCGAGGCCAGGGCAGTCAGCGGAAGAATAATCCCGTAATGTCTATGTGGAGGTAGTATCCCTTGCAGCGGTGAGTGCTCGTACCAGACAGCGAGGGATGCTGTAAAATAGCATTCTGGTGAGTCCAGATGCATCCAAGGTCTTCGTGCTGCTGCCCTAGCCTGGTCCACGCATTGCCATCAACTAGCGTGCTGGTTGGCCAGCCTTCTCTTCTCCGGCTAAACCGTTTAACCTCTGATCGTTGTACTATCCCCAGCTTGCGACCAGTGCCGCAAGTCCAAATGCAAATGTGAGCGCGTAGGCGAGAACGAGCCGTGCAAGAATTGTGTCTTGCTCAACACTCGTGAGTGCTCAGAGAAATTTCCTCGTCTACGGGGAATTGACATTTGTTTTATTCTGTGATGACTTGGTGCTTTCGTCTGTGGATATGGTACGTGATTGTTACTACTGACAGCATGCACGTTCCTCGGCCCCTCGCGCAAACGCGGGCCACCAAAGGGGTATATCGACGCTATCGAGGCGCGGCTACACCAGACAGAGGCGCTGGTCGGCATCCTCCTAAGCTCCACCGACTCGCGCGCGCGTACTCTACTCGATGATCTATCCTCGGTCGTGCGTCGCCTCCTCCCGCTCACGTGTCTGCGTGACCAATATTGACGAACCTTGCAATCATAGGACCCGCTGGCCAAGGAAATTATTAACCGTGTCGACAACTCCCCATACGGTACGAAGGGCCGGCGACGCGGCGCCGACCCAGCTGCGGGCGGTGCGAATCGCACCCGACACGCCACTCGGCCGCCGTCGGGGGAGCAGCCGACGAACGGGGAGCAGCAGGCGATGCAGGAGGCCCTGCGCTCCACGCAGTAAGTATTTCAGCCCTGCAACCTGTCTCGACCACTTAACAATTAATTTACTGCGTGCTTCTTCCAGTCCGTCAAACGAATGGCAGGACCAGGTCACCGCCAAGCTGCACGCGCTGGGTCGCGGGGGCGGCCACGGGCACGGCCATTCCGCCTCGTTCGACGAGTCGAGCCTGCGCGACGAGCGCGACAAGCGGCCCTCACTCACCCTCTTCCCACCCACCAGCGCGTCGCAGCAGCGCACGAGCACGACCTCGCCCGTCGACGACCGGCGGCAGCGCCGGCGCTCGCGCTCGCCCGCGTCGCTGTCGTCGCCCTCGCCCGAGGCGTACGGCGACATGGGCAGCCCGAGCCAGCTCGACGAGAGCGACGACGAGGAGGGGCTCGCGGACGCGGTCGGGCAGCTTAGTTTGAACGAGCACGAGGAGGTGCGCTACCATTCGAAGGTGAGCGGGCTGCATTTGCTGGGCGTCAAGGAGCGCTCGGACGGGCGGAGCGAGGGCGGGATATGGTATGTGCTTTATATGTGGGTTGTGTGGGGCTAGGGATGTTGATTTTGGGTGCGTGATTAGGAAATTCCCGAGCTCGCGCGTGTGGCCGCCGCTGCCGGATAACCGCCTCCCGACGAAGCAGGAGGAAGAGTTCATGACGCGCTTGCCGGACGTCGCGACACAGGAGCACCTTCTTGATCTATACTTCACGTACGTGCATACCGCGCTCCCGATTATCCACAAGAAGAAATTCCTGGAGGACTTCAAGAACCAGTACGTGTCTCCTTTTCGTCTCCACGTACAACATCCTAATGAGGCATGCACCAAGCCATATGGACTCTCCCCAGACACAAGGCTCTGACACGTCCTCCCCTGTGCGCACCTCGCCTTATAGCAGACGCCGGCGGACAGTCCCCGCACTTCTCCTGTTCGCGATGTTCTCCATCGCCGCGCGCTACTCGCCTAATTCAGACTCCCCGCCGCCCCCTCAGGGCGCCATGTGGCCCGCGGGCGACGACTACCTTGAGCAGGCGAAGCAAATCCTCGATTGCACGTACGCGAGCTCGCGTCCGACCACCGTGCAGGCGCTGTTGCTCATGGGCTACCGCGAGGTGGGCATCGGTGCCATGGCACAGGCGTGGCTCTACATCGGCATGGCGGTGAGGATGGCCCAGGACCTGGGTATGCACAAGAGCGCGGATAAGTGGCAGAAGAGCGTCGGCACGCTTTTCGGGAACTGGGAGCTGCAGGAACGCAAGCGGATCTGGTATGCGTGCATTATCATGGATAAGTATGTCTCGACGTATATCGGTGAGTGTCTGTACATCTTAATCTGGCAATGTCTTTGCTAAATAGTGTTTGTATCGTAGGTCGGCCACTTGCTATCTTTGGGGGCGACTTTGACAATGGTCTGCCAAGCGAAGAAGAGATGGAGGAGCTCGAAGAGTGGAAGCCACATTCGTCAGAGCCTTTCGTCCGAGACGAGGGAGAGCCTCTTCCTCCCCTGACCATCGCTGCGCCAGGCCGTGTCATATCATGCTTCAACGCTACTGCTAGGCTATGTGAGTTCCTCCGGCGTATCATCTGCTCTAATATTCATTATTGACTGGCACAGCAATTATCTTGAGCAACGTTGTTCAGATGATCTACCCCATTCGGCCGAAACCAGGTCGCTATGCAGAGGCTCAGCGACTGGAGAAAGAATTGGACAAATGGTACCTGGAGCTCCCTGAGCACCTGCGATATGATCCAGCGTCGTCCAAGACTCCCGTACCCTTGCCACATATTTTGACGCTGCACATGCAATACTGGTGCACCGGGCTGCTCCTCCATCGTCCTTTGTGAGTCTGAAAACTCCTCGTATCCGAGGACCCTCGCTCATAGTCACGTCAAATAGCATACGGCATCTCACCGAGACGCGAAACAAGTGAGTGACAAAGTGCTTTATCCTGTTGAATATTGCTTGACAGTCTGTTCGTCATATAGATCCCCCGCCTCGGACCACCAGGAAGAGGTGGATGTGCGTGCGATCTCACAGAAAAATTACGACATGTGTGTACGCGCCGCCAATTATATCACGTCGATTGGTATGTACGGAAGGGTCTGAATGGTCCGCGTGACGCTGACAGTCGTGTCCTAGTCTCCGTCTATCTAACGAATTATTGTATCAAACGGTCCTCGGTCTTTTTATGCTATTATATATTCACGGCCAGCATCATGCACGTTACGACTCGTAAGCCCTCCGAATTGCGTTCCACAGTAGGCGACTGACTCTCTTCCAGTGACGGCGTATCCGAATGACCCGCAGGCTCGCAAGGGCCTTCAAAAGCTTGCCGACGCTCTCGAGAAAATGGGGGTGGTTTGGCCCAGCGCAGCTCGGGCTCGAGAACTGATTCACGGGTCGAGGGCATGGGCTAGCGATGGCGGTCACCCTCAAGTGGAGTACTCGTCTTACCTGCGGCATAAACGCCCGCATGACGAGGGTGAATCCATCGAGCCCGGCCACCTGCCCATGGTGGAGTCTGCTCTGCGCCAGAGCTATAGTCCGTCCAGTCCCCTAGGGTATCCTTCGGGCGTGGATATGCCCTCCAACGATAACATGGCCTATTTCAGCCCCTTCGACCGTTGGAGTGGGGACAGCGGCTTATCGTTCTCGGGTACACTGTCGACGTCTGTGCTGCCCCAGCAATACAGCACGGGCCTAGTTGACGAGCGCGTGCCCCCGACGATGGGTCGCGGGCAGCAACAGCACGATGGCCATGGCAATGGGCGATACCCCCAGTTTTGGAACGACTATTCCACAATGGGGCAACTTAGTTCGACGAGCTACGTGCCCGTCCTGCCTGAATTGTCCCAGCCACACCATCACCAGCAGCAACATACCCCGACCAACACTCATAGCCAGCAGTCTCCTATGTACCTGCACGACCAGTACCACATGTTTAGTGAGTGCACCATCTCTATTTTATTATGAATTCGCGAGCTCATCGTCGCCGTCGCCAGATAACCTTCCGCCATCAAACCCATAATGTGTATTTGCTTGCAGCTGTATTATACTTTCAACTTGGACCAGAAGTAGTTTCGGGCATGTTTGTATCCTGTAGTCATCTGTGTTGTGGCATCGTGCAGTAATCCTAATCTTTCTTTCACCTTCCCCCCAATACCCCACCGGTACCCATGCCCCTGTGTCTCGCTAATCCTCGTTCCTACTCCCGATTTCAATCTGGGTTAGGGTTACATTTCCGCCAGGTTATTGGGCAGAGGGGCATGTGGTGTGCGGCTGCAAATCCCTGGCCAGTTTCAGATTTGATCTACTTTATCTTGACTTTATCGCCAGGCACACTCCACCGATTTTCATTTATCGATAATCAGTTCATCCCCATCTACATCTGCCCCTGCTGACGTCGTAGATACGTGATGACCAGGCAAACGTCTAATGTTTATTAAGGGAGGTATACAGGTCTAGAGTTAATCGCTCGTCGATACTACAAAGAGTGGAGGAGGGAAATACGAAACGCCCACCAAGAAAGTCCTACAGTCCAAGCTGAATATGCTGATGAAGTGCTGTACTTCTCAGAGACGCTCGCCCCGTCCGATGACAGTCACCTGTAATGAATTCAGTCAGCATAATGCGAGGCAGAGTATGACGAATACCGACTAACCTTGAACCCGATGTTCCGGAGCTTCTCGACGTCGACGATCATCCTGCCGTCAAAGACAAACGCGGGCTTGTTCATCCCCGCGTACACCGTCTCCCAGTCAATTGTCTTGAACTCCTTCCACTCGGTCGCGATCACGACCGCCTCAGCGTTCTTGCATGCCTCGAGAGCCGAGGGAGACAGCGTGACTTGCTTCTGGACTGGAGATTCGTGTGCGGATGTGTGAGTTTGCGTATCGTAGAGATGGTAGGGCGGAGGAGCTTACTGGTGGCGCTGGGAGTTGTAGGCATGGCCTCGGCAAGGTCGAGCCAGATCTGCTCGTGCGGGACCTTGGGGTCGTAGATATTCACGAGCGCGCGCTCGGCGACAAAGTCGCGGACGAGGCTGATAGCCGCCGACTCGCGAGTGTCACCAGTGTCCGCCTTGAACGCGAAGCCCAGCACAGCGATGCGCTACGAACGAACGCATAAGAAACCCCTATCAACACGTGACTAGAAATGCTACTCACCTTGCCAGTAATGGTATTGAACAGCGTGTCCACGACCCTCTTACTGAACCTCCTCTTCTGATACTCGTTCATCTCTACCACTTGTCGCCAATACGCTGCGACCTCGGGCAGGTGCAGGCTCTCGCTCAGGTACACGAGGTTGAGGATGTCCTTCTGGAAGCAGGACCCGCCGAAGCCGACGGACGCGCGCAGGAACTTGGACCCGACGCGCGAGTCGCGCCCAACCGCGTGTGCGACCTCGTCGATGTTCGCACCGGTCGCCTCGCAGATCGCGGAGAGCGCGTTGATGGACGAGATGCGCTGCGCGAGCATCGCGTTCGCGGCGAGCTTCGAGAGCTCCGAGGACCAGAGGCCGACAGTGAGGATGCGATCCTTACTTTAGGCGCGTATTTTAGCCCTCGCTACGACTAGAGAAGGAAGAGCCAGGACTCACGGCACCCAGTGCGCATACACGTCCGCGAGGCTCGCGCACGCGTCCTTGCCCTCGGGCGTCTGCAGCGACCCGATGAGTACGCGGTCCGGGCTCAGCAGATCCTGAATCGCGGTGCCCTCGGCGAGGAACTCAGGGTTGGACAGGATCTGGAATTTGCAGTTCGGTTTCGAGTTGGCCTCGAGGATCGTGCGCATCGACTCGGCGGTGCGGCAGGGAACAGTCGACTTCTCCACGACGATCTTGGAGGACTCGGCGATGGCCGCGATGCGACGCGTCGCGAGCTCGACGTAGCTGGAAGGGCAGGGTTAGTATGAGCAGATGAACAGGGGACGGCGCATATATGCGGGTTAATGGGATTAGAAGGTCCTTCGGAGTTTTAGATTGATTTCGGCATTGCCCACGATCATGTCTTTCGTTTTGAGAGAATGTACATAATATTGGAATATATCGTTGTATGGGCAGAGAAACAGCCTAGGGAGGTGCAAAGTCGAACGACTTCGAAAAGCGCATAGCAAGTGCCTCGCAAAGAATCGGCGGAACGCAGAAATACTGCACCCCAAACAAAATGCAGTTCTCAAAGCGTGAAAGCAACACTCACTTCAGATCAGCCGCGAATCCTGCGCCAACACCCGCCTTCTTCGTCGGGGTATTGACACTGACGAAAATCAGGTCCGCCTCCTTGATGCCCTTGTCCACGTCCGTCGAGAAGAAGAGGTTCCGGCCGCGCGCCTGGCGGACGACGTCCTCGAGGCCGGGCTCGTAGATGGGCAGGTCAAAGTCCGCGCTGTTCCACGCGTTGATGCGCGCCTGGTTGAGGTCGACGATGGTCACGGTGATGTCGGGGCACTTGAGCGCGATGACGGCGCACGTCGGGCCACCTTTGCATATATGCCGCACGTGTCATGACTCTGAAGGTGGAATGCGAATCACTGGGCGCTCACCGACATAGCCTGCACCAACTGCAAACGCGACGTGTCGTGTCAATCAGTTCCGACTGAATGTTATGGACGCGTCAAACGTACTGCAGCAGATCTTCTTAACTTGCACGGGGGCCATCGTCGTCACTGTGTCGGACGGTGAGGGTGAGGGTTTGGAAAAAGAGCGGAGGTGGTGGTGAGACGTAAAGAACTTATAAAGGACGGGGAAAGAGGAGACGGTGCCAAGCGCGGTCGGTCGCAGCCGGCATGGAAAACAGCATCACTGCTCGGTCCTCGACCACGTCCGGAGCGCTCCCTGGCCCGTGCACAGTACACTTTGCTCTGCCGATGTCGTCTCTCGCAGCGCTCGGACATGATATATTTAGGCTTTCCGTGCTCTCAGGGTTTGCTTCCGTGGTCAGGCGCGTCGTGGTGCACGTCGCGGAAACATTCGAGACTCCAATATCGCGCCGCCATGTTGTAATTTCCGAAATGTACAGGCTGCTGTGTAGCATATAACAGGTATGTGTACTGTTGGATACGGACATCAAGCAGGGAGATCACTGATACAGAGATTTTGTTGCGCAGGGCCGTGATAGCGCGGCTCTGATGATGGACTGTACATTGCCGCAAAATATCCACCCAAAGCGTGGTTCTTCACTGCTTGAAGTGGGCAGGTACGTACATAAAAAAGGGCTCGAGGGCCGGGTGGGGGCGCATGATGGAATAATCATCATCCTGCAAAGAGCGCCGCATCCCTTTGTCAGGACTCAGGAAGGGTGGTAAGGTGGTAACTAACGGTGCCGGTGGTAACGACATGCTAGTCGAGGGTCCGACCGGGCGAGAGCGATCCTGACTGCGGTGCGAAGCTGAATCTGCTGCTATGATGCTCAGATTCGCACCCACTTCCTCTTTACCACGAACCCGTGGAGGCTACTGCTATGATTGTGCGCGGCGCAGAAGAAATAAGATCATTTAGAAAAGCCCGGTGTTCAACCGTTCACTGCCTGTGAAAGGAAGCTCGGTGTGTGCTCTTCTCTAGCGACCTCCTATGTCAGGCTAGTCTCCCTCGACCAGCCTCAGAGATCCTGATGTCGGCGAAGGTGAAATTACCCGGACGTACCCCTTCAACTGCTTCGTCATCTAATCTCCCGCATGGATGACGGAGGTACTAATGGGGGTTAAATGAAGAAAGCACCGCTGAGATACTCTCTAGCCGCGTAGTCGATATCCATTCGAATTGGCTACGTGGACTGTACAATATCTCACATCCCTTCAGTCTAGTTTCCCGCTGTACGGTAATGACGCTAATGCATTCCTCGATGGATCTGGCCAGCTATAGACTCACAATCCTTCGAAGCGACGGCAGTCTCCCGAAATAAGTGGCGCAGAGGGAGGGAGGAAGTACATCTGGTGGCTTACATTCGTGCTCCGTTAAGACGGTAGGATCTTGTGCTTACGCCTGTCCTCAATAACAGTCTGCCTCGCGTATGAAACTCAGTGTGCAGAGGAATGGTAAATGAGGTGAATGCGGATTATTGAGCTCTTCGGATGAATCAGCGGGTAGCAACGGCAGAGTCACTGAAACCGCCAACTTGTCAATGAAGCTCCAGCTTGCAGGTTGGCGCCCTAAATAACGCTGCTTATGGTACCTGGGCAGCAGGAATGGCACTGAGTGTGGCATGATGAGTTGCACTAGCTCCGGAAAGGGATAAAGACCACAACAACCGAAAGCTGTTCCAGGTTAAATTCTTGGTGCAGTAGAGGGGGGGAATTTGAGTGGAAGGCCGAGAGCGTACATAGAGGCGTACGAGTGTAGCGAAAGAGAACGTGAACAAAGCCTTCACGAGCCGAAATTGTAATTTATAGGCAGAAAGATCTTATCTTATCTGCCAGACGTCCACCATCAGCGATAAGCCCGAGCCTAAATCTTGACACGATTTACCGCTTCTCAGCCTACCCCAGCCTCCTCCCCTCCCCTCCCGGTCCTGCAAAATGGCGGCAGCAGCAACGCCCGATCCCTGGGACCAGCCCTCCGTACGACTGATCGACGTGTGTCTCTAGTCCCAGACTGACCAATTACTTACGAAACAGACCTCGACTGCGCCCCGCCTGCCCCGCGCAACCCCAGCCTCCGTCCCGGACGACTGGGACGCGGACACCGACTCCGACGAGGAGGACAGCAGGGCCGTCTGGGAGGCCGCGTATGCCCCCTCCGCTCTCCTCTCCTCCCCCCTTCACCGTCGCTGATCGACTGGGATGTAGGAACAAGAAGCCGCCCATGCCGACGATCCTCCCCGCGCAGAGCTCCACTGCGTCGACCTCCCTGCCGCCGCTGGAAGCCATCCAGCCGACGCTGAAAATTCTCAAGCGGCCTTCGGCGACTTTAAATCCCAGTGGGTCGCCAGCGGGCACGGGCACAGGTGTGAGTGGCAGCGCGCAGACGTTGGAAGAGAGGGAGAGGTCGTATCGAGAGGCGAGGGAGCGGATATTTGGATCGCAGGAAAAGGAAGGGGAGGGGGAGGGGGAGGAGAAGAGCAAGAAAGAGGGTGGGGAGAAGGCCAGTCTTCAGGTGCAGGTGGTGAGAAACCCGAAGGGGCCGGAGAGGAAGGGGTTTGAGCGGCGGAGAAAGAAGGATGAGGGAGGCAAGGGCGGGTCGTCGTAGCTGTACTGATATCTTTCGGTGTGTTGTATCTCCCTTCTTCTGATGTTACAGTAGGTGAGCTGGATCCACGTTTGCATTGTCTTTTCTGGTTTCTGTACGCGTCTGACTGCCAGTTTGGTAGGTGTATGCGTGTGTATATGCACACATTTGCGATGACACGATACATGTCCATTCCTTCTTTTACCAAGCCCTAACGCTTTCGTCCAATGGCTCTTCCCAGCGCTTTTCAGTGAAGGGAAATATGCGAAGGGTAAGTGACACGCATTCTCCTGTGACCGATAGGTTCGCCGATGCCTTGGTGAGACCCCCGAGCTCGCGCATATGGAGGGACGGTGGCGCAGTTATTGAGTTATTGGAGCTCGGGGACATTGATAGTACATACTCGTAAGGAACATTGGCAGTTGACTTCACGCAGGAACGCCACCCCCTCCGATTCGGAGTCGTTGCACACCCAACTAAGGTTCAGCATATTGAAACCACTCTATGCGAAAATGTTCAATTGAGCATGAACTTGAAGCAGCCCTCTTTCGGCCAATCAAGCGCCTGCATTCTGATACTACTTGCCCCGTGTTGAGTTGGCTGAGGCAACTCATGCGATCACATCGACGGGATATCGTCCGTCCTATATCCATGGTAATGCATATGTTCTTTCGGCGACTCGTACCAGTGCGCATTGATATCCGCGACTCACGCAGATCAAGGGGCTTGACGTGCGAGTCGTATGGCCGAGTGGTGAAAGCCAAGGCTTGGCCGCACGCACACAAGCAGGAAGTTCTCGCCTTTACGCCACAACCTACTGCTTGCGACGGATCCACAGATGGTAGGCGTTGCAGGTCTCAGTGCCCTGCGATAATCTAAGACAATGGCTCTGTCTATATTCCTTCGCATGGTTAGCAGGTATGCAGGATACTTCTTATAATACCTTCCCTCTGTCCATTGCTCATAGACCTTGGAGCGTGTGTCTGACCTCGTGCGAAGTCGTAGACACCCATGGGCAGACTATCGGTCCCCCAGGTAGAGCGTTCGAATCCTGCGCATATCTTTAAGGGTTGACGTTCTGTACTTCTCAGCTCGAAATTTTGTGGTTAGGAGTGAGTTATCAAGCACCCTTCCCCGGACCGCCTCACGTAATTGACTATATCCAGCTCTCCAGTATCGCCTTTGGTGAGTATCCATATGCGTACTCTCTACGAGTACTACTTCTCGGCTGTACTGAGGGCATCATTGATGTTTTCTCCCTTTTAGGAGCATACACTGCGGTTTTCGCGACGTCCTCGTATATTTTATTGTCTCGCCGAGAAGACAAGAACTCGACAAATAGCCGCCTGCTGATGGTGATAATTCTGCTCTACTGTTTATCCACGGCAGCCGTCGCTCTGAATTTCGCATTCGTCCTCCTGTCAATGGGAGGTCTGGCACTCGCCGAAGACAGGAAAGCCTCTTATCTTCCCCTGCTAATCGCATCCATCCAGGCCCCTTTGATGTTGGGTAACAGGTATGTCTTGCTGCCCGTTGACGTACTGTACATGTTGACCTCGAGGGCGTCTGATCCAGTCTCATTGGCGATGCGCTGTTGGTACGGTGCCTTCAATGCTCTTATGGCATGCAGATATGGTGATCTAACTATTTACGGCCCGGCAGATATGGCGTTGCTATATGATATGGGGGCGGAAATACACGGCTATCATGTTTCCCTGCCTGACATATCTGGTCAGCCTTGGTGGGTGTTGATTAACATGTCTTTCGGTATGAATGCGATTCAACATCCAGATCAGGATCGTACTGTGCGCTGTTGTACTTCATCTTCCAAAAGTCTGCATTGGATTACTGGCCTGGCGTAGCACAGGATGCCACAGCGGCACAGCAAGGAGCAGCGCTTTGGGCTACGATAGTCCGCCTAACCTTTATCTTCAGTGGGTCGTCATCCCTGAGTGCTTTGGTCGCAACAGCGCTCATATGTAAGCCACAAAACTCCCTGCCATGCAGTCAGGACCAGAAGGTTGATGTGCATCTGACACATAGCCGGACGGATTCTACGGATAAACAGAGGAGTGGGGGAGCATGCGAACGTCGAAAGGGGGCGCGGATTCAGGAGAGTTGCCCTACTGATGTGGGTCCAGCCGCTATGACCGTTCTTCTGGCATCCGTCCCAACTGGAGAGACGTCAACAGAATAGAATCGGGGATGGCCTATACGCTCTGTACGTGGCTCATGCTCGGGCTCAGCTTCCTCCGCGCGGGTGTGGTACGCACATCTTCTATCCTTATAGCCGAGGCGTTAACTAACCCGCCCACGAGAATCTTGCCCTTCTCCCAAGCTTGGCGGCGGTGCGTGCGTTGTAGTCTGATCAAAGAATTTGCTCACGGCGTCGGGCCAGGCACTGTTCCCTACCGCCTTGGTGGCTCTAGTCGCTTTGGGCAAGATCATGCACCCCACTACGTTGCGTATAGTAGAGTTATCCGTCGGCCAGGCTGTGTAGCCCTCTTTGTTCCACCGAGCTACGATTCACATGGCAGTGGATTGCGCAGAGAATCCTTGCAACGGTAGTTTGTAAATCCCAAGTCGTGCGCCCCGTGGTCACACACTGGCAGTACACTGGCTCTCGGAGCCAGGTAGTACCACCATCTCCCGAAGCGAGTAAGCTTACTAGTAGGGTAACTCGACCAAAACTTAACGGCACACTTTTATCTCCACGATACGGGCGCATGCGCGTGTTTGTTTCTGCTCGTAGCTTTGAAGCCCGTGCGATTCCCGCTACCGTAGGTAGTGGGTCTTGGACCCCCCGGCCGTTCGCAGGTTTCCTGCGATCGTTTCAAGATCTACGCGATTTATTTGACACTATTTGGTGCTTGACCGTATATGGTGAACGGCAAGAGCGGGACATCGTCTTTGCTATTGCGCCCCCGCGTAAACACGACCAAATATTACCTTTTCGAGAAGAATATCATGTGACCTCCGACCCCTCCGGCCGCGTCACTAAAAATAACTGGACCCAGCCGTATTAAGTAAACGCCAATTACATTGCCATCATATTATTTTGATGTGTCAAATTTCTATCGCTTTCTTAGTGTAGTGGTTATGCGGTATGTATTGAGTGCTAGACGTCTGGAGTTCAATTCCTTCCTATGCACATTTTTGATTTGCCCTTTTGGGGTTAGGGTTTATTAACTTTCCTTTACTTTTATATCTACCTTTTCAGCCACATTATCACAGCTATATAGATTTCATTGAAAATTTATTTTGCCCCATCTATATGACCCTCCAGACTTGAAGATACTCTAACTGGCCGCACACGCGCGCGGCGGGAAGCCCGCGTTTGCCGGCATCACGTGACATTCTTCTCGATATGGTATATTTGTACGTGTTTGCACGGGGGCGCAGTAAAGCTACCTGCGGGACATGGCTTTGGACCAATCAAAGGTGGGGTCCTTAAAGGACCCCGATAGTCATGCCACGTGTCATTTCTCTTCCCCTTTATAGCCAAGGTGGCGGATGATTGTCAAGGGACTTTGAGACAGAACTGACCTTGCTTGGGGCCTTGGACCTTGCGGTCTCAAGGTGAAATCAGAATACTCCGATGTCGGTTGTTTTGCATATGTAACTTGTGTTCTCGAAACCTGAGGGAGGGATGAGTGGACATCTCTCAGGACCCCAGGCCTTGAGTTGAATGCTCAGTCAGAAATAATTGCTGGAACACAGCTGCTTTCGCAAAATAGATATATATGACGCTGCTCAGGATGTGAAGTGTTCAGCTTGCTACCAAATATCATCTATATCTACGGTAGCGGGCTCTGCCGTGCTCGCACGGCCCTACCGCCTTATCTGAAGATGCTGCAAGATTCGCGGGGCTGCCTTTACGTTCCGAAACTCCGCGCGTGATTCGTTCGGACGGTTTGCACTTTGCGCTAAGGGGCTGCTCGTCCGCTGAGTCCCAGTTTACCGCTGGTCATAACGGCGGATTTACGTTCAATAAACATGGCAGACACGACGATTATGTCTCGTTTCCCTCCTGGCACTGCGCCAGTCAAAGAGGAGTGAGTGTAGAAAAACATATAAATAATATACAGTCAAATAATCCCCCCCCCCCCCGGGTCAGGTACTTAATCTCATTCGCGCGACGTGCCACACCAGACGACGATGCTGCCGAAGGCTCTACTAACCCGGTATCCTCGACACCCACCAATTTGCCTTCCGGCGAAGCAGAAGCGGAAGGCGGAGGCAGGAAACTCAGCAGACGCGAGAAGAAAAAGAAGGAACGGGGACAGAATAAGGGGAGGCGCTTCCAAAAAGTTAGGGAGGATGTCGATTTGTGCTGGAGAATTGCGAGAGGGACCGTATGCGAGTTCGGAGACAGGTACGAAGGATCGGCTGCCAGGAAGTTTGATATCAATATAGTATACCCCCAGCTGCCGTCAGTCGCACGATGTGCCAGCCTACCTCTCCTCCAAGCCACAGGATCTGTCCATTCCTCCCGTATCGTCTTTCATGACATCACCACCCTTCGTCCACCCCTCTCCTCCAGCAAGCGATCCCCGGCAGCCATCGCTCGACCTGAATACTGTCTGCCCGGTCTATGCGGCCCTAGGCGAGTGCAGGTACGGCTTGAAATGCCGCTTCTTAGGCGCGCACGTCAAGGTGGCGGATAAAGGTGAGTGCAGTATTTGGTCAGACGAAATAGGCTGCGAACATATTCAGGGGAGGGTACCACGGACTTGGAGTTAGTCGTAGACGAAGAAAAGAAGGCAAGGGCGGTCAGTACGCAGGAGGAGATGAATAAGGTCGATGCAGAGGTGCTGAAAAAGGTCCGGACTAGGAAGGTATGCGAAATCCGCGATATGTTATCCCTCGTTTATGGTGTATACGTCCCAGTACCCGACTCCGATGGCGGACGCGTACTCCAGAGAACTGCAAGCCCAAGCCGAGCAACGTCAACAGGAATCACAACCCAAAAGCAAGCCCACCTTCACCGAAGAGGGCGATGCCCTCGTCGTCGGAGAGCCAGAACAAGAAGAACAAGCTCCTATGGACGTGGAAGGGGACGCAAACGCAAAAATCAACGGCAACTCGAACGGGCATGCCTACGATTCCTCACAAACCGATACACCCGACGTGCCGATTCGGTTCCAGGAGAAGAAGCGCCTGAGATGGGAGGGGAAAAGCTGTATGTATGCTATGTCCTTTGTTGCCCGATTACGGCTCAGTGATCGAGATCGTGACTGCCAGACCTCGCGCCGCTGACTACGACGGGGAACTTACCCTTCCGGCGTCTATGCGTGTCGCTCGGGGCGGATATTACGTGCGGCGAGATGGGCCTTGCGCAGAGCTTTTTGCAGGGGAGTAAGGAGGAATGGAGTCTCGTGCGAAGGTGGGTGTGCGCGCAGTATAACATTTTCCTACTGCACTTGTCGGGGAAGGCGTGTTTTGGGGGTAGTGCAGTCCGGACTCATCCTGACGGATCGCTCTTGTTGGCAGACATCCCGATGAAAAGATATTTGGCATACAGCTTGCGGGGTCGAAACCTAATCTGCTTGTCCCGACCGCAGAGATCCTAGCAAATGAGTTCGGGCGTGGTGAGTTTTGGATGTTCTAATTCTATTGCGCTTCGGTGTTTGCATTCGTCATAACAGAATGCTTCACTTGCTACGATTAATCCCTTCCGGCTGTTCCTACCCGTCTCACTAATGTTCCGCACCGATAGGCGGGACGGGCAGCGGCCTCGACTTCGTCGACCTCAATTGCGGGTGTCCGATTGATCTAGTGTTCAAGCAAGGGAGCGGTTCTGCCCGTACGTCAGCCTCGCATGCGTTCTCCGCTACACTGGGATTTTGGGATCTGACTGAGTACTTCTGCTGTAGTCCTGGATGCGCCTGGCCGATTAGGGAAGATCCTCATTGGAATGAACCGGGCGCTCGGCGAGGTCCCGCTGACGATTAAGCTCCGTACGGGAGTAAAGGAGGGCAAGAACACGGTGCATAAGCTTATGGAACGCGCTTGTGGCTGGGGTGTCAGCGCCATGACTGTGAGTCTCGTTTGTTCGCTGTTGTCTTTTGTCTTGTGTCCGGTGTTGCGCTGCGGTCAGAATACCTCCAAGGGGAGCAGTCTGTGCTTCGGATGATATTGATCGAGCTTCGTAGTTACATGGCCGGACCAGGCAGCAGCGGTACACCAAGCTAGCGGATTGGGATTACATCAAGCAGTGCGTCGAACTCGTCCGGGCCAAAGAGAAGGACGAAGATCGTGAGTCTTTTCCCGCTTTATCCTCTTCCTCGTCGTGACGGTCCTCATTCGGACCGCAAGTCCCGCCCATCCCGATATTCGGCAATGGCGACGTTTTCTCCGCGCATGACTACTATAGTCGGATAGAGCAGTACGGCGTCGACGGCGTTATGATCGGACGTGGAGCCTTGATCAAACCATGGATATTCACCGAGATAGCTGAGAGGAGGGAGTGGGACATCAGTAGTCGAGAACGACTGGAGCTGATCAGGAGGGTGCGTGATTTGAGTTCCCGAAAAATGTTATGGGTTCTTATTCTGCCGGCGCGACACAATCAGTACGCCGAATACGGGTTAAGGTGAGTCATTGCCGACCTCCGTTAAAGGTCTATGCTGACACGCATCGTAGCCATTTCGGGACGGATACCGCTGGCTTGAACACAGCACGGCGGTACCTTTGCGAGGCACTGTCGTTCCAGTATCGATACGTGCCCATTGGCCTCTTGGAGGTCTTACCGCCGAAGATCAATGACCGCCCTCCAGCTTTCCGGGGCCGGGATGAATTGGGTCAGTACTGGTTGTGTTGATTGTATCATCCATTTGATACTGAAACTTCTGCTTCTCCATCCCAGAGACTCTCTTAGCCAGTGGGGACAGTAGAGATTGGGTTAAGATCTCGGAGATGTTCCTTGGTCCGGCACCAGAAACATGGAGCTTTACACCCAAACATAAAAGCAATGCCTATGGTAATGAAGAAGCACAGGGATAAAACAGACTATCAGATAGCAGTAAGCTCTGAAAAGTGAAACTGTACTAGTGACTACAGAATGTTCCTTGCTTCCATTGTAAATGCTCCAGGTTATGACATGGACCTTGTACAATTTATATACTACACAACTACCTCATTCCCACTTGCTGGTTCTGTCTTCATGTGAAGATGTAGTCCATATTGGTTACCTCTATCATTCTGTAATGGCACCATCTCAATTGCCCTTGAATGACAAGTGTTGGCTGTGGAAGGTGCCACTCTATGAGCAACCTTATGCAAGTGTAGGATCATGTGAGTGGCCAAGATTGATGGGGCCACTAGGATCCATGGGGAGAGAATGGAAGATAGTAGGGTTGCGGCAGGATTTGAAGTAAAGTCTTCAAGTAACGCAAGTGTTGTCACAGTAATCACACTAAGCAAAGATAAGAGGAATGTGTGACAAATTGTGGAGGGCTGTCAGACATACCAGCCATAGTACTGGATGGAATCAGTTGCCAATGTGGAAATGAGAGTTGCCCCATAACCCCAGGAAGCATGGAGGGCCAAATCTTGATGGAGCCTAGTATGTAGGATAGCTTTAACGACAATGATTGCAGCCATCACAATGTCAAATATTATGCTTGGAATTCTGCAATCATAAATAAGATGCCTTCCTAGACAGAGTAAGTCACTCACAGAGTAAGTCCTAACCGTGGCTGACAAAATCTTAGAGGCCCAATGGTAACCAGAGTTGGTTGCCCATGAAGGAGTGCTATAACAATCACAGAGGCAAGGGCTGTAATGAACAATGCTGATATGAGGAAAATGTATCTTCGTTCTACAGGAGAACTTTAGTCTGAAGCCAGTGTGCTTCTTTGACTACATACTGTTTCCTAGTATTGCGTGTAATCGGACCTGCAGGATTACTGAACAATGTCAGCTGTCATCAGGACAAGGCAATACCTGTATGACACACTTTGGACAGTCCCTATTACTACTACAACTGATGCACAAAACTCAGATAAGACTGAATCACAGTTGGGTATTGCAACTCACTACTGAGTGTATTGAATAAGCCATATGGACCACCTGCAAAGGTAGTAAGGTAGGGGAAGTCAACTATGACAGGAAGCAAGACTACATACAATATCCAGATGACTGGAAGTCAGGTGAAAGTATAGCAGACACACGACGAGCATAGATATAGCCTTGTACTAACCAGACAAGCCCACATAAGATGGACTTCACAAGTGATACCCCTGTTATGACATACCTGTGATATCTGACATCACTACAGCTAATCCAACATATCGGTTCTATAGTGATACAGTGGGATAATTGTCAGCTAGGTCAGGAAGAACACTTACTATTATATATAGTATCTTCATAGGCTTCCATGGTAGTCTCTACTAGACAAACTATGAAAACTGTGAAAAGTACTAGTATGACTCATGACTGACTGACCCAGATGTAGTCAATCTGTGTATTGAAATGAAGTTAATTACATTTTGCAGATTTCACCCAAATCTTACTTCTGATGGGATACTTGATACTGCATGTCACTTTAGTTCTCACAATATTTGGAGACAGTGACATACATCATACCAAAGTGATGCATATACAGTGTCAGTGCAACCCCTAGTTCCTAGTAGGTCAGCAATCATGGCTTCATATGTATGAGTGAACTGACATACAGCAAGAACATCCTGTCAAAAAATACCTCCACATGACATCCAAGTCATATCCCATGTCTCTGTCAGCCATGGACACTTAGAAGGAGGTCCACAGATCTTGCACCTGAAGGAGACACTCACAGGGCAAGGCATGATATGCATGCTATATATCATGAGGACTAAGTGCAATAATAGCATGCAATACCAATAATCAGGACATCTGTCATTGGGACATCTGTCATTGGGACATCTGTCATTGGGACATCTGTCATTGGGACATCTGTCATGGGACTAGAGGTTCTGCAAGGTCAGTGATATATCCTATGGAGATAAGCAGTGATATGCTCTTATCTCTGATAGAGAGATCATATGCTTTTGGTCCTGAGTCTTCATCAGATTCATTCATTATCTTGCCTAGAATAGATAGATGATGATTCACAGGATATCTGATCTGATAAGAGAAAAACTCTACAGACACATCTGTAGATAAGGGTTAGTATGGCAGATGATAACAAAGTCATCCTGGACTTATTTAGTTGTGCTTGATATAGACAGCCTGCACATATCACAGGAGTACTCAAGCCATCTCTATGCTTCAATAAGATGGCACACTTTATATTTGGGAAGTTACACTTGGTACTGGCAACTTACCCCTCCTCAGCTCATTTGGGCTTCAAGCTTCAAGTTGAGTACCAGGATGTTGTGGCTGCTATATGAGTTTGGTAAACTGTTGTAGGGATGTCACTTCTTTCAATGGTGGTGGATTAGTAGCTCTGTGTAGTGACAAGCAATTTCTGGGTTCACCTCCACTGATCCATCAAGTATATGGTACTTACACAAATTACTGTACTGTATGATTCCAATCTGTTTGGCAGTCAAACATCACAGGGTACCTGCCGAAGACAAATTTTGGCATTTGTCACAGGTCACAGGGCCTCTTGAACTGTGGGACCTACCATATATGCTAACAGAAGCTTGCCTGTAGCACCCCTTTGCACCATATACATATATAGTAAGTTGCCAAGGTGATGAATTGGTCTAACAATTCACATGTCACCTGCCTGCTGAATAGATTTTAAATGGTACAGTGCACTGGATTCAATGAATCATGAGATGCCATTAGATTTCTTAGTTCTACTTATTCTGCTGGCTTTATGCTTCTCCTGCCTTATCAGGCAGGTGAGGCTAGGTGGTAGTTGGCCTTACAACACCCCAACAAAGCACAACCAAACAATGCCGAATCGGGTTAAAAAGTCATATAATCTTTGGAAATGCCACACTGTCTAGCCTGGGCATCCAAAAGTAGAAGTCCTATTAGATATATTCTATGTCCTTTCATTTCCTCAGTAGATGTGCCTCATTTATTCAGTCAAAAATAATTATTGAGTGAAGATTACTCCATAATTGAAGCAGACAGTGTGAAACAGTAAAGACAAAGAAAAATAAAGTAATGTAAAACAATACCCCAGTGGGTACTGAAACCTGAAGTGCCAGAGAGCAGCAAGAATGCCATGCCGTTGAGCCACAACAGCTTGGAAGCTAAGGGCCTTGAACAATATATATATATATCATCATGAATTGCCTTACAGCCTAATGTAGGTGATATGCACTGACATGCATGGAGACCGGAGGGGCACAGAGGTCACATGATATTTTTGCCATTTTCGGTTTGTTTGTTCAAGCTTTGTTGAGGCAGGGTAACAAAAGTGCTTGGTGGTTCCCAGGTGTTCCCACGCCTTGCGTGATGTGTCAACGAGCTGGCCTTCCTCCTTGACTGCACCTGCTCGGGGTTGCTTTTGCTCTCCTGTAGTAAATAGAAGTTGCTGTACATTAGATGGATGCTTGCATTTACTGATAATATACTTGAAAAACTCTTCTATGTAGTCAGTTTAGTCCACAAGAGCTGGGGAGGCCTCCTGCAAGCATAAAAGCACTTGTTTTACCACATAAGTGCACAAATTTGCAGCATAAGCAGCATAAAGCATTTATCTTGGGGGATCTACACTGATTTACAGGATTTACAATCACGTGATGCATGGATTTATGGGCATGTCATGCCCTCCACACAATCACATCAAGCTGCTGCCACTTTGCACAGCATTCCCGAGTGCTTCTTGCCATCAAAACCTTGGGCAAATTGGGCGCCCTTGTTGGAATACTCGCTTTGGGATCCCCAGACACATGCTGTATAACTAGGCTGCATCTAACATGTCAAGGACCTATGCCCTCCTCCTTAAATAGCCTCATTTCTCATATTTACATGGCATTATATGCATAGATAAATTGCTGTGGCAGGTATATGCCCCCCTGCAGTATCTATTGTATATGGCTTTACCTAGTAGCCTCTAATGCAGTGGACCTTAAAAATTGTGCTGTTCCCGGTACCTAGGGCCATCAGCCACTGTTGACACTGGGTCATGGCAGGGTCGATTTACGTGGATATACATGATCACATGTAAACTAAGCCAAATAACTATACTTATTTACTCATCACTGAGCTGTGTGTTGGGTATGGGAGTGCGGATAACTTGGGATCATGAATATTGGCTGCAAGGTGGAGGGCCTAGCATGTTGTTTAGCTACCAAAGTCCCTTTTAACCCACAGCACTTGGATTAACATTTATAACTTCTGGGTACTGTAGCACCATGGCCTTAGGCTATGCAACAGATTATGTAATATGGTGTAGGAATGTGGTACCACAGGACATTGGGGACATGGGGCACAAGCAACATGTCACCTTGGGTGACACAGGTATCTGGCCATTTTTGCAATATATTTATGCACTTGATCTGTGCAGCAGATTGATATTCTTTCTATACCAATCATGCTTCAAATATCCATGCTTGTCAGTTGTTGTGACTTGAAGCACGTCTGGTACAAAATCTGGGAAAATTTTCCAAATGGGGACCTCATGTAACAGAAGCTTTGGAACACGGAACAAACTGCTAAATAGGTAACAGTGATGGACCTTTGGGGACATGGGTCATTGCTTTAGGTCGTGGCACTACAGCACACTGATTTATGCTTGCCACTCCATATCCTTTCTGGACATTGTGTAATCCTGGCAGATCATGACATCATTGGATGTCTGATTTCAGACTCCATGGCTCTTTGCCTTCCTCACTGCACATCATCTCTTTTCTCTCTAGTTTGTCATTTACTGCTCTACTACCATTGATAAGCCTCAGGATTGTCTGACCCCCGAAAACGCGGACTCAGCGCATCGTACAAGCCCTCCGGAGCTTATTCAACACAGCGCTCACATGCCTCTAGGCTTCTATGGGCTCTAAAGACTTGCTCTGTTTCAGCTCCGGACTTCCTAGCATCCTTGAGGCGTACACGGACCCATTCCGCGATTTCTCTCCGCAAACAGGAGCTCCGGAGCGACTTAACCAATGTGACTTCTAGATGAATTAGCTCCGGGGCTGCAGACACTTCTATTGAGGGGCGTCATCCTCATGCCCACCCTCCAGCACAATCCCTCTCTCGTTTCCATCAAAATACCGAAGGTGCGGACGTATACGAGTCACCATGAGGTTAGCATCAGTCAGCGAGCAGCCGGAGGTAATTAGCACGTGACCGGTGTCAGCAGAACTTGCGATTGATATAATACCACCTAAATATCTCTAAGTGGCACAGTCGTCAAGTTCCCCAAGAGAATGCTGGATTTGTCGTTGGTCGAGCAGTTCCCTTGTGTTCGATGAGGGAGAGTATAGGCTTTATAGAGGTTAAAACTCTTTGTTTCAATCTCCAGATAACTAAACAAGCAAAATAGCTGACTACCAGAGTCTAGCTGAGGATGAGGGTAGAGAGCAAACACAAGTGACCAGAGGTCTACGGCTAGACTTCCAACACCAAACCTAGACTGAAGTATTTCTCACGGTAGAGAAACAGACTAGCTGTGGCAGACAGCAGACAGTACTGCAAGTCCTTCCCTTCTCTGAGGTATCACAGATAGCTTTAACTCCAGACTAACACTGCTTGTTCCAGCGCTTTGTGGAACCAAGACAGTACAGATGCACACAGTAGTACAACTGATTCTGAGGCTGACTTGAACCAATGAGGCTCTCTGGTATTCAGAGGGTCTCTTATTATTATTGGGGTCTCTCTCCTCTAAGACTGTCTACTGAGCTCCTTATATACCCTACAGTAATTTGAAATTCATAACAATAGGGTGGGAGAATTGCCTGGTTACTAGGCAACATAGACAATAGTGTGAGAGAATAGTGTACAATAGTGTGAGAAAATAGGATGAGTCAGCTAGCTTGGGGACTTGTGATTGGTCCTTGAGCATAGGCTGAGTCAACATGAATCATCTCTATAAATAGAAGGGAATAGCATGAGTCATATTGACATAGAATGAGTCATATCCGCATAGCATGAGTCATATGTAAGGGAGTGAGTCATAAAGGCATGGAATGAGTCATATGGACATAGAATGAGTCATGTCAAGGGAAAACAGTGGAATGTCTCGGATCCTCCTAGAATATTCTGCGCCCTGAATATTCTCACAGTCCTCCTGCTTTGATGCTGCGCCGAAACTGTTCTCCTTGCAATAGCAAGTGCTTTTCATGATTGAAGTCAATGTCATATATGTCTTCATTGTCGATTCCCAGCCAGTTATTGAAGATACTGTCCACCAAACCTTCCATTACCGATCTGTATATTCCAAATGTAGTGGCTTGAAGCTGGTACTTGTGGTACAGTTCAGGCCTGGAAGGGATACGTTCAGCGCGCAGCGACAGCTTAGTTTGGCATTCGAACGATCTCCTAGTCTGACACCGGCGCATCACGCGGAGTGATGGGACCGCTTAGGGCAGATGGCGGGGCGTCGAGGCGACCTCTAGGGGCTGGGACAAGCAAGTGGGAGTGCAAGAGAGTCGTATGGTGCATGGTATAGCGGCGGCAAGTGCTGAGCAATCCTGTGGGTAGCGGCGGTTATTTGTTATTTATCTCCGGACGGTCGCAAAGCCATTCCTGTAGTATAAATTCTACAAAGTAGTGTACAGAAAAACAAGTTTTGACTTCACCATCTCAGAGAATTAGCGTTACAATCTCAGCGACCCGAGAAGTTCGAAAGCGTCGAACTTAGCGAATTATAACCGATCCTAGCTTTGCCAATAAGCCTGACT